CTCAAACAAATCTCATTTAACAAAAAACTTGAATATAATGATAAGTATATGAGTATTGGCTATGTATCACCTCTCAAACTCTATAGTTTACAACAAAACACGTGCAATTATTGTTCGTAATTGCCTAGGGTTTTATACTATTTCAATCTTTGTTTAAACAACCCGGACATGTTATCGGAGTAGATGATTGTATCAACACTGTTTATCAAATGTATTGCCAAAAATGAAGGGGCGAGACCGGAGCGTTTGGACTTTGGAGGTGATGTTGGCTGAAAATCTACGCAATTTGCTATAGTATTATACCATACATGTAAATGTGAATACGAGCACACACTAATCATGGAATTTAGATTTTAGTTGTTTGACATGTTTCGTATGCGAATCAATTATACTTACAATTATTTTAGTTGTTTGTCTAATCTTTTTTTTTTGGCTCTTGAGTTGTTTGACTAATTGGCCATAGAGTTAATTGATCAGTGCAAAGTGAAAGTTTACCTCTCCTCGTGTTTATTTTAGATTACAACTACGACATTAATCGAATTATTTAAGAAACTCATCGCAACCGAGTACCGATAATAAATGTCACTAAAGAGATAGTTGATAGTTCAGGTAAGAAAATAATGGCTCCACCAGCATAAAAGCACAAACTGGTAAGAAATATTTAAGGCATGGACGACACACAGGGCAAAATGGTCATTCTACTAAACCTTTATTTATATGCAAAGCTAAAGTAAATGCTCTCCTGCTCAACCTAAATTACAATTACGACATTAACTGGATCATTTAAGAAACTCGTTGCATTAAAGTTATTGACAATAAACGCCGGCGAAGACCATCATCAATGACTCTTTGTTACTCCAATTAACTGAAACAGTCCAAGAAGGTAAAGAACATACCAAATATATTGAAGGCAGTATATATAAATATATATATTTGAATGTATAATAATTAGGGTTTTTAATCTCAGGTACTATTAAGTATTAATGGTGGCGCAAATGCTTCCAAAAATGGTTTCCCACACCACTTGTACATTTGAAAACAAAACCCTTCACACCAACACCCTCCAATTGTCAATATTAATTGATTTTTTTGAAATTTTTTTAGGGCTTTTGTGAAGTATACTGTGATTGTTTTCCAAATCAGCTAGAAAACTATTTTTTAGAATCAACGTGGTTTTGTTGTTTGGTGGTATTGATTTTGTTCCTATATGTGTATGGAAAGTGAAGATGGGGGCAAGGAATGCGTTGGATTACGCACAAGATGCAGTGAATCCAGGTAAGATTTTGATGATTTTAGGTCACTTAATGTATGAATAGATTTAATTTATGTTCATTTTTTCTCACTACATTTATTATAAATGTGCAGATAGATTCTGTTTTAGCGAGAGAAAGTGTGTTGTGTAGATAGTATAAATGAGAGAGTGCGTGTCCGTGCGAGCGTCCGCGTGTCCTCCCATGGCTGTGTATATAAGCAACAAATGGATGGTCAGTTCAGACCTGCAGTGAGTTGCTTAAATAAACAACCCCTTCCCCAGAGAAAGAGAGAGAGATTGGATCAGAGACAAGGTATATTCTCTATTTTATTTCTTTGCTGTATAGTTTTCACATATGAAGAACAAATAAAATGGCTCAATTGCAGTTGTATTTTTGGTTTAGTAAGACCCCGTATTAAAGTTAAATAAGGTTAATAATATCTTAAGAGTTCTCATAAGATAAATAAATGATGGTAAAAAATTAGAATCATTGTTAGAATATTGATTTTGAAATTTGAGTTTCAATCATATTGACTTTCAGGGTAAATTAAATTTTGGAGATGTGTAAGTTTGAGAAGGGTGGATAACTAATTTTATAAATATTTTTAGGTTAAAATAAGGTTTTCATTGAATCCGGAAGGTTGAAAAACATTGGAAGATGTTATATGAGTTGTATCAGAAGTTTAGAAATATTATAGAGTTAAAACTTACTTTGGAGAGGATTTGGATATAAAGAAGTTTGATACTATATCAGTATTTTGGTAATAACTTTTTACTCTAAGGTCCGATTGATCTAAAATTTTGATAGTAGAAACTAGACTTCAAGGGCTAAATAAATGTATTTCACGAAAATTTCGTGAATCGGCCTCTAACTAGGTCAAAATCGACATGAAAGTCAGGGACAGATTGCTATCCATGCCCACACGGGTTTTTTTTCTATTTTTTACCCTATAAATATCCTAGGGCCACAATCTAAAGAGTCTTTACCGATTTTTCAACCCCAAGAAGCCTAGAAAAGTTTGAGGAGAAGAAAAGGAGAGAGAACGGATTAAATATTGAAGGATTAACATGTGGGAATCGTAACAAAACACGTTAGAATTAAGATCTCAAGAATCAAGGTAGGGGTCTCTTCCTAAACTTGTTCATTGAGGTTAGGATTAATCTATATATATATATATATATTTTGATTCTAAATCGTTTATATATGTTATGCAATCATTGTTTCTTGATTTTCTTGCAAATTGTATCATGTCTTAAATGAGGTTATCGTTTCATAGCCATAAAGACTCTCGTTCTTGTTATCAAAACTCTAATTTTCAAGATATATAGGTTTTACGCTTGATATTCCATTGTTCTTGATTTAAAAACTCTAGTGTTTTGTTTGAACAACAAAATTTTATTTTTTGATGATCTCTTAAATATTTTCTTGAGTTGTTCTGTTGGAAACATACCCGTGAAATTATGGTTCTTAGTTTACCTATGATTTGGTGAATTAGTTTGGTATTGTATATTTTGTGTGGATATTATGATGAATATGAGTGACCGTTGACCGGATATCGTAGAGTGGGTAGATGCGTTTCTTATTGCGAGTGGGTTTGAAGGTTCCCTATCACTCGTAGTGGGGTTGGTACCTTGCGAGGACCAAACTACTATTCACTCATGGGTATCGAGGCTGAAGGCTAGTATACTATTCCTTAGTTGAATTCGTCATTACCGATGCGTTGGTATATGCCATTTTTAAAGTTGTGTATCCTTGCGAGAATTGAAGATGTGTGTGTGGGACAGGATATTCTCAATGTGTGTATTCATGCTAAGTATTACTATAGACCTGAGATACAGTGTTGGTAATGGTTTGTTATTTGAAAGTTGATTTTATTTCTTCATTTAATTTATTGTTACTATGTAAACTTGAGATATGATGAACTGTCACTGTTTTATTTCAAAAATATATATGATATTTTTTAAAATAAGACCGATCTGTTTTATATGTTTTTAAAATCTTGTTCGAGTTTGAGAGAATTTTTCTACAGAATTTAGTGCTCACCTCTTACAAACAACATTTTTTTCTGATAACAGTCTAGAGGAAGTGTTCGGATTGGATGAACAGGTAAATTGAAAAGCTTAAATTGATGGGGATGTACATCCTGATGTGGATGTTTAGAGTTGTTTCTTTTATGTTCTAGATTGGAAAGTTAGTTATGAGACAATGTTAAGGATAGTGTTTTATTTATTTCACTGTAAGATAGTATTTGGCTTTTAGATGCAATTGACTTGGATTAACATATTTATTTTGGATGGTGCTTTAGTTATTATGGATGATGAATGAAATTTTTTTAATTTATGGATTTTATTAGTTGTTCTCATGATATGAATGGTTATAGATAATAATGTCTTCTAGGTTGAATTTGGGGCGTTACAAGTTTATATAATTTTTTAAATGTATGATTCCTACTTGAGAGAGAGAGAGAGAGAGAGAGAGAGAGAGAGAGAGATTCATATGATGAACCGACAAAAAAGCAGTTCTAGAAATGGATGAAAGATCTAATTACATGGATATATGTGGAATTCTGAGAGTTTGATTATTGTTCAATCAAAGAGAGTGTCTTGTGCTTATGTGTATGAGAGATAGACATATATAATGAATCGGTGGATGATCTTAGAAAAGGATGACCAGTTAAAACCACAATGGAAAATCAGAAGGACCAAATTTCAGATCAATACACACACACACACACAATAAGGGAAACATCTTGTAAAAGAAAGGGTCTCTACTCTTCAGTTATTTTGTTTATCTAAAATGTAGATCTAGTGCACCTGTTTTTTCTCCTGATTAGTAGTGGCATTGTGCTGTTGATTTGCTCAATAAAACTGTATATGTATATGCACTCATATAATCAAAAAGGAAGAGCGAAAGAGAGTCGGGGTGGGAGTTGATGCGTGGTTTCTTATTCTAATCATCCAATAGGCTGAATTATGATATTCACTTGATTTGATTAGAGTTCAGCAATTTTATGTGTTTGTATGTACGTATGCATGCATGCATCTGTCAATCCATATCCGGCCTATTTTTTGATTTAATAAATCATTTCCCTATTTGCTCAATCATAACATGGAGGGTAGCCCACAAAAGTTGTCACCCAATAAATACGGCATATGATCTTCAAGCTTAGGGTATTAAGTGGTCTATACATATAAAGTATATCTATCATAAAGTATATTCATGCCATATAACATATACCCATGTGTTCCTCATCATCTGAAATCTCTGTGTGCTATGTCATCTGATGCACTTGTGTATTTTCCCTTGTGCGGTGTATACTCTTGGTTTCTTTGGTCCCTATCACTTTGGGGGACTAGATCTCTCATTTTATCGCTCTTTTCTCATCTCTCATTTTTCAACACACATCTCATGTATAGGGGATAAATAACAAGACTGATATCCCCTGTAGTGGGAGCAACATAAGTGAATTCACATTGCCTTTTAATATTTAAATCTAAGTTTGAATGATTAGAGTAAGTTATGGAGGATGCTACTCTGGGAGGGTTGATAGAACGACTGTTTATTCTGCAATGTGCATAAGTAGAACAAAGTGGTGCTAAATCTCTCAGAAGGGATTGGTTTCCAACATTCTTTTTGGTTGTTCTCAACACTCCTCTCACTTTACATCCTTTTACCGTTGTTCGAATTGTTCATTTTTTTTCATTTATTATTTTTAAGCAATTCATGTCCAGAAAGATAGCTTGAAAGATGTTTCCAGTTCTAGTGATGAATGTGGTTAAGGGTCAAATTCGCTCCCCTCCCCCCTAAAAAAAAAAAAAAAAGGATGACGTATATAGTAGAAATAATGATCAACTTGACTGTGACTCTTTATAGGGTGTACATTTGGAGAGAAATTGAAGATGAGTGTGATTCAATCTTTTTCTTCCCGTCTAGCTGAAGCCACTGCATGCATAGGTAGGAGGATGAATTTAAATTTGGTCTAAGATCTGCGCATTTTTCTCCTAATTTGACCTTGATTTATCCATAATTTGATCGTAGTATTTATGAGTATTTTTCCCTTACTAGCATCAGTAGCATGTTGAGTATCATATAAGTTATCGTATTTTGCTTCTTTCGTGTATCCCTTTGAGTTTCAAAGATATTAAATAGCTATAGCTTACATTGCGAAGACAATTGCATATTAGCAACCATGCACGGCAACAACTAAGTACTAACAACTCAGCATAGAAAGCTCTGCTTTTTTGCTGCCTATGTAAATGGATTATGTGCACAAACATATATAAGAAAAAAATTATGCAGGTTTGTTTTGTCATTTTATGTTTATGCATACTTTATTAAAGTCCTGAAGATATAAGGGTAACAAATTTACTTTTTAATTTTTCTAGAAATGCATTAGACGTTGATGACAATCACTGTGGAGTGTGGACTGCTAGGGTTGAATTCCAATGAGTTTAGACGTTCGTTTTGGATCGTGGCTCTGATACCAAGTTAAGTTGTGAAGTTGCTAGAGTTTTGGAGAAGAGAGACAAGAAGAATAGGAGAAAATAGAAGATTATCATAATAGAATAGTGTGTTAGGTTAAAACTACACATTGTTTATATATATAGATACAAAGTATTAAAATACCTCTAATCTGGAAATAACACTATAACGAAACATCTTTGATTCTACATAGGATAATGATATATATCTAAAGTACCAATTATATAGGATTCTTACATGAGCAATGCTAGGGGTCCCAAATAACATCCCAAATCAAAAGGGATCATTAGATTAGTAGGTCCCATTAAAAAAGGTTAACGGACTTACTCATCCAATGATCCCTGTTCATCTGGATGCAATTTGAGATCCCAAATTTGGGATCCATTATATTTCCATTCTTACATTGAGTTTTATCTACTACGAAATTTTTTGTGGGTAAAAGAGAGTGAATGTATAGTAGGCCTATCAGTACATGTAACTTGAACTGAGTTAAAATTGGAGCTCAAGAAATGTTGCCTGGAAAAAAAAAGATGATGAAAAAGAGAGAGAGAGAAAGAAATATTCCTTCAACTTAATAGAGGGAATTGGGAAGCATTCCCAAAGGAAAGTGTTTAGTTTCCAAAGAATTACTAAATTATACTTTATGCCCATTTTTATTGTTTATTTACTTGGTGTGATTTTATGTTTATCTCCATCAGTATTCTGCTATCCGAATACATTAGCATTCAAATGAGGGCAAAGTCTGAATTTTAAGGTGCCAACCTGTTGGCATTTGTTGGGTTTACTCCCCCCCCCCCCCCCCCCCCCAACCCCTCCATTTATTGAATAATGGTTTTCGAAGATATCACCCAATTTGTGATGTTTCGAAGCTTGGTGTGAGGGTTTAGTAGCCCTAGTGCCATTGGATTGTCTCTTATGATCCCGGTTGGACTAGGTGCCATGACCCTACAAATCAGAATTTTTGGAAGCGGCCTTGAAACAGCCTACCCATTGCCTTTTTGTTCAGAGCCTCATCAAATCTATTTTCCTACGCGTCTTAACTCTCGTAAGCTTGGATTCCCCACCCCCGCTTGGCTGAATTTACATTCCGACTTATTATAGTCCAATTAAAGGATGAGGGGTGCCTTAAATGTGTGTTGTAACACTCCTTATTTCCAGAAATAGGAGTAGAATGACAAGAGGCAAGCTTGTAATCTTCGATTTTTCGCCTTTTGACGAGCACTTTTGCTCTTGTTTGATGTGACAACTTAGAAAAGCCCTTTCGCTCTTGTTTGATGACTGAAGATCCAAACATCCCAAATATTTGCTAATTATACCATCTCAATTTTAGCCTATACTACTTACAAACTCAGTTTTGTTAGATTTTTCTATTCGTTGTCACTGAGTCTGAAGTCTGAATATAAAGTTTACAATACATGAACAAGTAAAAGATAATTTGTCCTTCCAAACTTTTTCTTCCAAATCAATATTTGAGTGTGAAAGGAACAAACATAGTTTGGCATAGCGAATCTCTTTTTGTGAATGAATCTTTGTTACCACTTAAGACATAAGGCCTATAGTCAAGGACTTGTCTCAATGATCAAGCTATTGAAGGTCAACAGTGCGCTGTTGTCAGTGCTATGATCAGATCAGCAAAGACACAAAAGGATTGCAATTTGAAATTTCCTCTTTTTTCCCTTCCGTAAGACAAGCATTACATGTTTTTCAACCTTGAAATAAACATATCTTTCCGATCTAGTGAGGAGTTTTCGATGAGTATGAGACACATACTCTAGAGGTCTTCACTCAAAACTTGTGTTGAGAAATGCAAAGATTCAGTAGGTTATAAGGTGCCAAGCATGGGTTGTTGATGGCTTGGCCCTGGAGGTTGTTGATGGCTTGGCCCTGGAGGTTGTGTTTAAGGGTTCGATTTCCTTTTCAGGCCTGTTTTGCACTCTTTCTCTTGGGTGTCAAAATAAATGCAGATATCTGACATCTTTCTGTGTAGTTGAATCTTCTATTGTCTGCACTCTTAAAATGTTTCCATCTGGGTATCTTTATGGCTGCAAGTTTTCTTAATAGGATTCCTGTATTCATGTTTTGCGTTGCATATGCTCCTTTTTTTTTTTTTTGAACAAAATGTTGCATATGCTCCTTCAATGAACTTAAATTGCCAAGATTTTTGTTTGGATTCCCCTACATCTACTTCCCTGCCATTGTGGTTTTAACTTCTGCTCTGTTGGTCATTTCTGTATATTCCATTACTCCTATAGCCTTTCTAAATTAGACGCTATATCCCTTCAATTTCTGACCTGATTTGTGGTTTCAGAAATGGATAAGAAGTGTACAAAAGGAAAATCAAAGAATGCACTTTCTGATAATAGTGGAGAAGATCCTCATGCTGATGTAGCCACTAAATCAAAACAAAAGAGAGTGAGGTCTGAGGTCTGGGAAAATGCGCCTGGTTCTCAAAAAATGCCAAAGCGAACAGTTGCCTCCGCCACCTCCAAGCATAAATCAATACGCTCGTCAGATAAGTTCATGATTGTTGAAGCTAAAAGAATTCAAGTAGTGAAAGATGAGGAAAAAGCTATAAGCTCGACAACTGACCAGGTTGATATTAAGCCAAACAGACGATTGACAGATTTCATCTTTCACGATGCAGATGGAAAACCACAGCCTGTTGAGATGCTAGAAGTATATGATTTATATGTTTCTGGTCTCATTCTGTCATTGGAGGGAACTTCAGGCGAAGAGAAGGATACAGGGTTCGATGTGAAGGATTTGGACCCATTGAATCTTGGGCAATATCTGGGTATGAAGATGGCTCACCTGTCATATGGTTCTCCACAGATATTGCTGATTATGACTGTGTTAAACCTGCCACCAGCTACAAAAAGTTGTATGGTCTTTTCTTTGAAAAGGCTCGTGCATGTGTTGAAATTTATAAAAGACTATCAAAATTTTCCGGAGGCAATCCTGACCTTTGTGCGGATGAGCTACTTGCAGCGGTTGTCCGCTCACTTAGTGGGAGTAAAATTTTCCTCGCGGAGCATCTATGAAACACTTAATTATTTCCTGGGGTGGATTCATATATAATCAACTGAATGGCTTGGATGAGACATCCACCAACAATGATCAGATTTTAGTGAACTGCCTGTTCTTGTTGCCATTAGGGAAAAGAGTAAGAAATGTAAGGATTTTGAGCCTGCAAAGACAGTTCCATCTGGAGTGGTGTTGAGAACAGATGTGAAAACTGGAGATGGCGACACAATGAACCAGTTAAATACCTCCACTTGTGCAACCGAGGAAGATGAAATATGAAATTGGCTTCATTGTTGCAGGAAAAAGAGAATTGGCAATCATGGAGGCATAAGAAGAGGCAACGATCAGTTACTTCCTCTAACAAGTTCTATCTCAAGATCAATGAAGATGAGATTGCAAATGACTGTCCGTTTCCAGCTTATTATAAAACCTCCATCCCAGAGACAGATGAGTACATAATATTTGACAATGATATGGATGCTTATAATCCTGTTCAGCTTCCTCGAAGCATGCTTCATAACTGGTCTCTTTACAATTCAGACTCAAGATTGATTTCCTTGGAGCTTCTGCCAATGAAGCCATGTGCTGATATTGATGTGACCATTTATGGTTTGGGAATTATGACGGCTGATGATGGCAGCGGATTTTGTCTTGATGCTGACTCCCACCTTTCTTCTTCAAGTTCTTCTGGGGCACAGGATGTGGACGGTATCCCTACGTATTTGAGTGCAATAAAGGAGTGGATGATTGAGTTTGGATCATCAATGGTCTTTATTTCAATTCGAACGGATAAGGCCTGGTAAGCTACATAGTTATGTTGAATTTTGAAGTACATAGTTCTGCAGACCTTGGATCCCTCCATTCACGGTTAGAATGGAGAAAATATTGTTTTTTCCCTCGACTTTCGGTTAACCACATATTTCAGCACCTCACAGGCTTATTATATATGAGCACAGTTTTTTGTATTCTCCCCCAGGCAGGGTGAAGGGTGTATGATACCTAAAGATGAGAAGATATATAATATCTGAAGTAAGATAGAGTTTATTAATTTTCTGATGAATGCAACACCATTATTCGGACGGATATGGCCTTGTAAGTACATTTTGTTGTTGAATTTTAATATTTTTTTCCATCTCCTAACTACTTAATTTAATGCCTTTTTCAAATGTCTCAACATTCTCCCAACCACCTTATTTGATACATCACTAGAAACTTCTACCCAACAAACAATTAGAAATTAGGTTAAGTTAATCCTTGGGCTTATTACAACATTGTGCTGAACTAAACATCTATATTACTTGTTAAGAGTATTAGGGTATTATGTGTAAAGTGTTAAGAGTGTTAGGGTATTATGTGTAAATATTATAAGAGGGTGTATTTGACTTTCTTAATTATTATAAGTTAACTATAAATACAATTAATGTATGAGAGTTAGGTTAAGTTTTAACCTCTCTCTGTTCCTCTCTAATATCATGTTAATCCTCTACACTTAATATAGTATCAGAGCAATTACGATCATAAATATATTCTGAACAAATTAACTGTGTTCGGTGGTACTGTTGTTCGTGGTGGTACTGTTGTTGTGGTTGATCTTTGTGTTGTGGTGGTGTTGTCGCTAGTGTTGGTGGTTGTGTGGTACTGTTATTGTGGTGGTCTTGGTCATTCTCCGTCGTTTGCTATTCGTCGTGGTGGCGTGATTGTGGTGGTGTACTGTTGCGGCCATCGTGGTGGTGGGGTGGCTGTTGTGGTGGGCTGACGTTTGTCGTGGTGGTGAGGCGCAGTCGAAGACCAGGGTTCACTGGAACCCTAATCAACGAAGAAGACAAGGTCTAGACCCGAGAAAAGGTCCAGACTCGACTCCACGGGTTTAAATTTTTTTAAGTTCAGCCCAATTAAATCGGATCCAACCCATTTCGGTCTAGCCCAATCTAATTATGATCCAGCCCAATCAGATTGGGTCCAGTCCACGGTCTAGCCTAGACCGGATCAATTCCGGTTTGATCCCGGTTCAGCTGGTTTCTACAGTTCAAACCAGTTCATTCAGTGGTTGCTCCAGTTCAGCGGGCTAGTAAGTTTCTGTGGCCCGGTTCAGATAGTTTCGCACCGGTTCAGATCGGTTCAATCAGTTTTTACTCTAGTTCAGCAGTCCAACGCGTCTAATCTATTCGGTTCAGTGGTCCAGCAAGTCTAGCCAGTCCAGTTCAGCGGTCCAGAGAGCTTAGCAGGTCTGGTTCATCAGTCTAGAGCGTTCAACCTGCCCGGTTCAGTATTACAGTCTATTCGGTTCAGCATTTCAGCCAGCACTTCCTCTGGTTCAACATTGCAGCACTTTTTCTTTGTTAGTTGCTGTACTGCTATGGAACCCAAACAAGATACCAGGTCCCTTACTCCATCTTTGCCTCCTCCTACTCTTATCAATGGTCTCATGACCTCTATTAAACTCAATGAGACCAATTGTACTTTATGGTTCCAATCTGTTCAATTTTTTCTTTGAGGCAAAGGATTTAAGAAATATTTGGTAGATCCTAAACCCAAGGAAGATACTCCTAGTTATGATTAGTGGGAACAAGAGGATGCTTAAATTATTTCTTTACTATTGAATAACATTGAGCTTAGTATTGATTCCACTCTGGTTTATCTTGACACTGCCAAGGAGATATGAGATCACTTAGCCACTATGTATTTTGGTACAAGTAATTTTACCCTAGCTTATGAAGTGTGCAAAGAGTACTTTTGGCTGGAACAGAGTACTCTGAGTATTTGAGGATTATTATTCTCACGTTTGGGGAGTCTGTGAGAAGATGAAGCAGTAGTTTGACAGAAGAAACATGAGGACATGAATGTTGTTAGGTTTTTGGTAGGACTGAAATTCAAATATGATGCTATTCGTTCTCAAATTTTGGGTGGTTCTAGTCTTCCCTCACCACTTGAGGTTTTCTCTCGTGTACAGTGTGCTACTTTGTCTACTACAGGCATCAAGTATGGTGTTTTCACTGATCGCTCAGCTCTTGTGGTCTCTAGTAGCCACAATGATAGTCCTTAGGTAGTCGTGGTGGTCGTACGGGTGGTGGTGGTGAGGGCCATAATGGACCTCGTTCCTGTACTCATTGTGGCCGTGGAGGGCATACCGTTGATTTCTGTTAGGATTTACATGAAAAATCTTCTGGTGTTGCGAATCAAGCTTTCTATCAGGATGACACCTCTGTTGTTACTTCCATACTTCAGTCAGCTCCACCAGACACTAGGTCAGTTACTATTACACGAGAGAGTATGCTCAATTCCTATCCCAGCAATAGCTTGTTCCATCGCCCTCCACTGTTACTTTTGTCCAGTCAGGTACTGTTTCTACTTGTTTATTGTCCTCCATTTGCAGTTTTTGGATCATAGACTCTGGCGCTTCTGACCACATGACTGGTGCGTTTGATTTTTTCTCTACTTATCGGTCTGCTACTTCCATATGTAGTGTTACTTTTGCTAATGGTACTTGTTCTAAAGTTTCAGGTCTAGGGACTACCTTCCGTGTTATTTGTTCCTCAGTTTTCTTTTAGTTTACTTTCCATTAGCAAGATTACTCATTCTCTCAATTATTCTGTAACCTTTTATCCCTCTTATTGTGTCTTTTAGGATCTCAAGTCGAAGAGGAAGATTGGTACGGGGCATAAAGCTAGTGGCCTATATTACTTTGATTTTGATTCACCTACTCAGGCTTTACAGATCTTGTTATCTCCTTTTCAATAGCATTGTCGTCTTGGATATCCTTCTCTCCAGAATCTAAAGCGCCAAGTTTCTAGTCTTAGTTATGTGTCGTCTTTGTCTTGTGAAGCTTATCAACTTAGTAAGCATCACCGTGTGTTATTTCAGTCTAGAGTTAATAATTGTGTGTCTAGTCTATTTAAATTGGTACATTTTGATGTATGGGGTCCAATAAAGAATATTTCATTTAATTAATATCCTTATTTTGTGTCATTTGTGGATGACTATTCTCGTGTGACTTGGTTGTTTCTGATGAAAGATCGGTTTGAATTATTCTCTATATTTGAGACCTTTCGTAAGGAAATAAAAACTCAGTATGGTTGTCGTATACGTATTTTACGTTCTAATAATGTTCGAGAATATGAATTTGATCATTTTTTAGCTTATCTTAGTAAAACTGATATTATTCATCAGACTTCTTGTGCTTATATTTCTCAACAGAATGGTGTTGCTGAATGCAAGAACTGTCATTTATTGAAAGTCACCCGTGCCCTGTTATTTCAGATGAATATTTCTCGATATTTTTGGAGTGATACTGTTCTTACTGTTTGTTATCTTATTTATCGTATGTCATCTTTTGTGTTAAATGGGTAAAGTTTATATTCTATCCTTTTTTCTGGTAAGCTCTTATTTTTCCTAACTCTTAAGGTTTTTGGATGTATTTGTTATGTTCACAATTTGGGTCCTAGGTTTGATAAACTTGATCCTCGAGCTACCAAATGTATATTTCTTGGTTACTCCTGCCCGCAGAAGGGGTATCGTTGCTACAGTCCTTCTCTGTGACGATACTTTACTAGTGCCGATGTCACGTTTGAGAAATCTGTTTCATATTTTTCAGCACTTTCTCAGCCTTTGGATCTAGACTTCGAGTCATCTCTTGTACCACCATCTTCAGATATTCCGCTGTCCACTGTGTTACCATCTATTTTACCTATTTGTGTATACTCTCGTCGTCCTCGCCCATCGACTAAGGTGCCCGTATCGTCTTCTTTGCCGCCTTCTGATCCTAGTACATCAGGTAATTTAAACTCTTCTGATCCTAGTTCTTTACCTATTGCTCTTCGGAAAGGTACTCGTTCGTGTGTTACTAACCACCCCATTACTCATTTTGTTTCATATGTTGCCTTATCTCTTATCTTCTTTTGTTTTACCTCTCAATTATCTACTATATCTATTCCTAAGAATTTACAGGATACATTATTTGATCCGGGTTGGAGAAAAGTTATGGAGGAGGAGATGGATGCCTTACATCATAATGGAACTTGAAATCTCGTTCCTTTACCTCCTGGTAAACGAACTGTTAGTTGTCGTTGTGTGTATACTGTTAAATTTCATTCGGATGGTTCTGTGGAGCGTCTCAAAGTCCGGCTTGTTGCAAAGGGCTTTACTCAGACCTATGGTGTTGATTATGAGGAGACTTTCTCTCTTGTTACCAAAATCTCCTCTGTTCGTATCTTGATTTCTTTGACTGCTAATCTTGATTGGTCCGTATTTCAGTTAGATGTCAAGAATGCCTTCCTATATGGTGACTTGGTTGAAGAGGTTTACATGGAGCAGCCACCTAAGTTTACTGCTCAGGGGGAGTATGGTAAGAGTGTATGTTGGTTAAAGAAATATTTGTATAGTTTAAAGCAATCACTGAGGGCATAGTTTGGTAAGTTTTCAGATGCAGTTTTAGAGTTTGGTCTTCTTCGATGGCAGACAGATCATTCTGTGTTTCATAGACAGATGGATACTAGATATGTTCTATTGGTGGTCTATGTAGATAATATTGTGATTACTGAAAATGATTATGAGGGGATTGCCAAGTTAAAAATCTTCTTGTAAGATCGATTTCATGCTTTGGAAAAACTCAGGTATTTCTTGGGTATTGAGGTGACTCGATCTAAACAGGGTATTTGTTTATCTTAGAGAAAATATGTACTTGACATGCTAGAAGAAGTAGGTTTGCTGGGTGGCCAACCGATTGATGTTCCTATGGATCCAAATCATAAACTTTTGATGGATGATGATGTACTATTTGAGAATCTGGGTCAGTATCGCAGATTGGTTCGAAAACTCAATTATCTCACTATTATTCGACCGGATATCTCCTATGCAGTCAGTATAGTAAGTCAGTTCTTAGGGTGTCCTAGAGTACCACATTGGGGGACAGTTACTCGTATTCTGCTATATCTTAAACGTGCTCCTAGACTTGGACTGTTATATCGAGTTAATGAACATCTTAGAGTGAAAGGTTTCTCATATGCTGATTGGGTTGACTCTCATTTTGATTAGAGATCAACCATTGGTTATTGTACTTTCTTATAAGATAATATTGTCTTATGAAAAAGTAAAAAATAATCCGTGGTAGTAAGATCCAGTGCTGAGGCTGAGTATAGGTCAATGACACATACAACGAGTGAGTTGACTTGGCTACGACACTTCCTCCAGGAAATTGAATTTCCAGTTCAACCTCCTTTACAGTTGTTCTGTGACAACCAGATAGTTATCTATATCGCTGCCAATCCAGTGTTTCACGAGAGAATCAAACATATTAAGGTTGAATGTTACTTCATTCGGGACAAGATAGTAGTTGGGGAGCTTACGACTCCATTTGTGAAATCTGAAGATCAGCTTGCAAATATATTTATCAAAACATTGAGTCGTATACGTCTTACAACAATTTTTTCCAAGCTTGAATTATATGATATATATAGTCCAACTTGAGGGGGATGTTAAGAGTATTAAGATATTATGTGTAAAGTGTTAAAGAGTGTTAGGGTATTATGTGTAAATATTATAAGAGGGTGTATTTGTTTTTCTTAATTATTGTAAGTTAACTATAAATACAAGTGATGTATGAGAGTTAGGTTAAGTTTTAACCTCTCTTTGTTCTTCTTGAATATCATGTTAATCCTCTACACTTAACATTACTAGTAAAAATATAATAAAAAATTTTTGAATCTCTATTTTACTATTAAAAAGGATTGCAAAGACCACTCTATCCTTTGACAATTAAATATCTAAATTGTCATGATATCTTTATTTATTTAAATATCTAAATTATCTATAACATCTCTTTTAATTATTTATTCTTTAGATATAAATATCAATTTTTATAAAACTTTTTGATTGACTATATTACTCCTAAAAAAATATGCATTTTTATATTTTCAATAAAGTGTTCAGCAAACTTTTAAAAACTCCATTAATCTAATATTTACTTATCTCATATGCAAAGATTACATTATACTTACATATACGTATTTTCTCTTTAATTGAAAATTTTAATCCTTTGATTTCTAAGATTAAAAATAATCGTATAATTTTTTTTAAAATCAATTTATGTTACATCAGTATAATTCTTTAGTCACAATAAACTTTCTAAATTTTAATAAAATTTTATGCAAAAGTAGATATTGTAGTGTATTTTTAAATAAAACTTAAATTTTTTAGAATTTTAATATGTTTGAAAATATATATTATAGAGTAGTATATTAAATCTTATTCAAATTGACCTAACTAATTCTTAATTACAGTAAGGTTCCAATGTGATTAGTATATTGACAATTACATTTATTTTATTCAAGACATTATAAGTGAAATCCTAATCAAATGAATTTCAAAAAAATTAATTTCTCAAATGTCACTAAAAAATCAATCTAAATCATAAAATTCTACAAAAAAATCTAACTTTAACTATTTTTTTTTTCTATTGTTAGAGCAACGAATTTTGAGAATGTACAAAGTTTTCATAATCTTATAATAGAATATGAGCAATGAAAAATTAAGTTTGATAAATTTGAGATGATATTTAATTTAGATACATATATACCTAATACGTTTTATTAATTTTTGTGTACGAAAACTATTTACGTGCAACGCACGTGAGTTGCACGTGATGCATTTCTAGTAAAAATAATACTAATTTTTGCTGTACATCAGAGTACGTCTTGTATCCTTCCCTTAGCAGTTACAGGAAAATCTTGTTTTTTTTTTCTCAACTTTCTGTTGCCCACCTATTTCCTCGCATCAATAGATTCTTATATATGAAGCACAATTACCAATATTCTCCCCCAGGCAGTTTCAATGGTGTATGATACCTAAAGATGAGAAGATGTGTATCTAAGCACGTAGAAGTTTTTCTTTTACATTTAAGACGAATGCCCATACCATGGAGTGGTGTAAAAAAATTTAGTATGGACCTTTGAGGTCTTTCCATTGAAAGAAACCAATTGACTTAATCTTCCCCTTTATCTTGAAGAAACTATGGGCCTAGTCTTTCAGAAATGTTTGGGCAGAAAGAGATCAATTTATGGTGTATGGTTATGTAGTCTTCTTTCCATTTCTTTCAGGTATCGCCTGGAAAAGCCATCAAAGCAGTACACTCCCTGGTATGAGCCAGTTTTAAAAACAGTGAGGCTTGTAATTAGCATCATTACATTGTTGAAGGAGCAGAGCCGAGTATCACGTCTCTCTTTTGCAGATGTCATTAAGAGTGTGTCTGAATTCAACAACGATCACCCCTCTTGCATTTCTACCTGTCCGATTGTTGTGGAGAGGTATGTAGTAGTTCATGGGCAGATAATACTGCAACAATTTGCTGAGCATCCTGATCATACTATTAGGAAGTGTGCTTTTGTGAACGGTCTTTACTAGAAAATGGAAGAACGACATCATACCAAGTGGTTAGTGAAGAAAAAAGTGATATTGAAGAAGGAAGCAAATATGAACCCAAGAGCAACAATGGCATCCCTAGCCTAAAAAAGGAAGGCAATGCCAGCTACAACAACCAGACTAATTAGTAGAATTTGGGGAGAGTACTACTCGAATTACTTGCCTGATGACTCGAAGGAGGATAATGGTCAAGAACTGAAGTATGATGAAGTTGAGGAAGAAGAAGAAGAAAATGAAGAGGAAGACACTGAAGAGGTAGAAGAACAGAAAATTCTACTGCCCAAGGAAATTAAGAAATCTCAACTAGCATCAAAACATAGGAAAACAGATTGTTCTACATCAGAAATTGTATGGGATGGGGAAACAGTTGGAAAAACATGTGCAGGTGAGGCTATTTATAAACAGGCCATTGTCCGTGGGAATGTGGTTGTTGTAGGTGGTTCGGTGCTGTTGGTAACAGCTAACTCAAATGAATATCCTCCTATCTATTTTGTAGAGTACATGTTTGAAGACTTTGATGCCAGGAAATTGGTTCATGGAAGAGTGATGCTAAGAGGATTTCAGACTGTTGTTGGCAACACTGCAAATGAGAGGGAGGTATTTCTGACAAATGATTGCTTGGAATTTGAGCTTAGTGATGTTAAAGAACCTGTGGTTGTGGAAACACGATTAGTGCCTTGCGCCTATCAACATCGTAAGGATAATGCCAATAGGGATAAGATTGAGAGGGCAAGAGCAGAGGATAGGAAATGTAGAGGATTGCCCATGGAATACTTTTGTAAAAATTTGTACTGGCCTGAGAGAGGTGCTTTCGTTTGTTTGCATACTGATAAAATGGGTCTTGGTACTGGGCATTGCCACTCCTGTAAAATAAAACAATCCCAGAATGAGAATGTCTTTATGCTAAATCCAACGATGACAAGTTTTGCATACCATGGTACCGAGTACCAAGTTCATGACTTTCTCTATTTAGGTCCTCATCATTTTGTAGCGAATCCAAGGGACAATGAAACTTTTTAAGAGTGGGAGGAATGTGGGTGTTAAAGCGTATGTGGTTTTTCACATGCTGGAAATCAAAGTGCTTAAGTCTCCTAAACAAGCTGACCCTGAAACTGTGAAGGTCAAAGTTAGGAGGTTTTTCAGACCAGAGGATATTTCAGCAGAGAAAGCATACCGCTCTGATATTTGAGAGGTAAGACTACTTAGGAAATCTTCAATCTTGTTCTCCTTTGTTAGTGGAAGTATTTGAACCCAAAACTTGTATTAATAATATTTTCTCAAACATCTGGTAGATATGCAAGCAACGTGCATATAGCGTGCAGATATGCTATGTGCTTATAGTGTGCAGGCTACGTGCGTATAGCGTGCAGAACTGAAGTATGATAAAGTTGAGGAAGAAGAAAATGAAGAGGAAGACATTAAAGAGGTAGAAGAACAGAAAATTCTACTGCCTCAGGAAATTAAGAAACCTCAATTAGCATCAAAACATAGGAAAACAGATTGTTCTACATCAGAAATTGTATGGGATGGGGAAGCAGTTGGAAAAACATGTGCAGGTGAGGCTGTTTATAAACAGGCTATTGTCCGTGGGAATGTGGTTGTTGTAGGTGGTTTGGTGCTGGTGGAAATAGCTAACTCGAATGAATAGCTGCCTATCTATTTTGTAGAGTACGTGTTTGAAGACTTTGATGCCAGGAAATTGGTTCATGGAAGAGTGATGCTAAGAGGATTTCAGACTGTTCTTGGCAACACTGCCAATGAGAGGGAGGTATTTCTGACAAATGATTGCTTGGAATTTGAGCTTAGTAATGTTATGGAACCTGTGGTTGTGGAAACACGATTAGTGCCTTGTGCCTATCAACATCGTAAGGCTAATGCCAATAGGGATAAGATTGAGAGGGCAAGAGCGGAGGACAGGAAATGTAGAGGATTGCCCATGGAAATTTTGTACTGGCTTGAGAGAGGTGCTTTCGTTTGTTTGCTTACTGACAAAATGGGTCTTGGTACTGGGCATTGCCACTCGTGTAAAATAAAACAATCCCAGAATGAGAATGTCTTTATGCTAAATCCAACGGTGACAAGTTTTGCATACCATGGTCAATGATTAAAATTTTGTTTTGGTGCATTATTTTGGTTACCTAAGAAACGAAAACGTTTTGACTTATTTTCGAAACGTTTCAACCTATTTCAAAAATATAATTAAAAATATAAAAAATTTAAGAATTATTTTTTCAAATATTGGTCGAAATAAACCAAAGTATCTTGTAATACCATGAAATATTTCGAAACAGTTGTACAAATGCATTGAAATATTATAAAACACCTTGACATTATGAAACAACTCGAAATATTAGAATTTTGATTTCATCATTGATTCGTTTTGATCTACTTGAAAACATCGTTTCGAAATGAAATTTTGATACTTGACCATGGTACCGAGTATCATGTTCACGACTTTCTCTATTTAGGTCCTCATCATTTTGCAACAGATCCAAGGGACAATGAAACTTTTAAGAGTAGGAGGAATGTGGGTCTTAAGTGTATGTGGTTTGTCATTTGCTGGAAATTGAAGTGCCCAAGTCTTCTAAACAAGCTGACCCTGAAATTGTGAAGGTCAAAGTTGGGACGTTTTTCAGACCACAGGATATTTCAACAGAGAAAGCATACCGCTCTGATGTTCGAGAGGTAAGATTACTTAGGAAATCTTCAATCTTGTTCTCCTTTGTTAGTGGAAGTATTTGAACCCAAAACCTCTATTAAGAATATTTTCTCAAACACCTCTGGTAGACGTGCAGGCTGCGTGCAGATACGTTGTGTGCATATAGCTTGCAGAAACGCCAGAAGAATAGTTTGTGAATTTCACATTGTCCTATCAATTGCAAGTTTGCAACTTATGTTTTTCCGAAATATGATTTTCCATGTCTGATCTTTTCTGAATTTTTCTGTTAATTATTTAAAAATTTCTTCTTTTAATCTATGAATGATTTAGGCTTGCTCTTAGAGTACCTCAAAATTGTGTTTTCAGGTTTATTACAGTGAACAAATAGTCATGCTACCCATAGCAGCTATAGAAGGAAAGTGTGAAGTTAGAAAAATGAAGATCTTCCATCTCTGGATTGCCCCTATATCTTTGAGCATGTTTTCTTTTGTGAACATCTCTATGACCCTGAGAAGGGTACTCTCAAGCAAGTTATTTCTCTTAAATTTATCTATTGCGCAAAACACATTATTGTTAATAGCTGTTTTTAGAGTGATTCAACTTGCTATTCCCACATTGATCCAAAAAAAAAAAATTGTTATTCCCACCCTATACAGGTTTGATATTCAACTGAAAACTTTCTTCTCTCTATTTTATTTGTTGTAGTTTTTTATATGTTTTCTCTATAAGCATGATGAAATTTATCTTTTTAGCTATGGTTTCATCAAATAATCTCCATAACTTATATGTTGTGGACAGTCGCCAGCTTGCATTAACCTAAATCCCTTGGGAGAAAGGATAATTAACAATGTTGCAAGTAAAAAGATAAAAGGGAAATATAAAGGAGAAAATGGTTTAAACGTTATTGAAAAACAAAGTGATTTGAAGAATTGCCTGGCCACACTAGGCTTTTTTGCTGGTTGTGGCGGCTTATCTGAAGGTTTACAGCAATCAGGTAACCATAAATTCAACCTCCCAACCTAGTCCATATTTTGAAGTATTCATCTGACTTGTCCAATCTTTTGAATGCTTACAGGTGTGTCAGTGACCAAGTGGGCAATTGAGTATGATGAACCTGTAGGCGAAGCATTTAACCTTAATCATCCAGAGGCATTTGTTAGAGTATTAATAGTGAGGGTAATTTAGGTATTTTTTATGATGTGTTGTCCTACTATATAAGACTTACTTTGTATATTTCTTGTCTTGTGTTGTTCATTACAGACTTGTTTTTAGTCTAATAATATAATCATTTTCTCTTCTCTATTCTCATTGATTAATTCTATCATGGTATCAGAGCCAACATGGTTTTATGTAGGGCTGTTAATCAAGTCAAGCTTTAACATTTTTTAAAGCTCATTTATGTGTAAATAGTCAAACGAGCTAACTCGTTTATGTGTAAATTCAGCTCGATTTAGACTCGAATTCAGCTTGATCAACACCCCTAGTTCTAAGAGATTTGAACAGTGCCTAAGTTACTGGTCACACGCTGTGAACAATACTGAATGAAAACATCAGCCCCTGTTTCTTTGTCTTGTGCCCCTGTTTCTTATCTTGGTGGGAGGTTAGTCTGGTTTGTTGGTTTGCTGCTAATGTTTTGTTTTCTCCTAGCTTCCTAGCTTGCTACGCAATTTGTGTTGCTAGTTTGTCTTGGTGGTTGTTCCATTGTTGGCGATCCTTTGTTGGGCTATTTGATTTTCTGGGCAGTCTGGTTGTGGCTTCTGCAGCAGTGTTCCTACTTTGTTGTTGATTGATATTTGGAATTATTGCTTTATTTGGTGGCTGCTGGGTTTTGACTGTGGATTGTTCTTTTAGTGTTATTGTTTTATTTGGTGGCCGTTGGGGTTTTGACTGCTTTGATAAGCGAAAATTTTGATTCACTTCAAGTCATCAGTGTGCGATTAATAGGTGAAAATTATGTTTATTGGACTTATGTTATGAAAAAAAATTTAATGGAAAAAGATATGTAGAATTATATTAGTGGTGTTGCACAGGCTCCAACTGATATTAAGGTCGAAAATTATGCTGATTTAAAGAGTATTTAGGATATCAACAATGCAAAAAATATCACTTGAATTAATAATTCAGTTGATCAGACCATTGGGGTTCATCTATCCAAGTTTAGTACAACTAAGGAAATTTGGGATTATTTGGCCACACTTTTTGTCCAGTCTAATTTTGCAAAGAAGTATCAGCTAGAGCATGAGATTCGAGTATCAGCTACTCAGTTATGACTGATTTCTGGGATCAGCTAACACTTACTGAACCCACTGAGTTGAGCACTAATCTGACATATCGCACCTTCAGAGAGGAACAGAGGTTGGTGCAATTCTTGATGGCCCTAAGAGATGACTTCGAGGGACTTTGTGGTTTTATTTTTCATCGTCACCCACTCCCCTCAGTGGATGCAGTTGTAAATGAGCTTTTAGCTGAAGAGGTTCGCCTTAAAATCCTTTATGGAAAGGGCCTTCTTTATTGCCAAATCAGATTGTGTTGGCTGGTCCTTCCAAAGTGACCTCTAATTCTCAAAACAAATATTGAAGTCGAGTTGGTTTTGATAAATGTAGCTTCTGTCGTAAAAAGGGCCACTGGAAGGCTCAATGTCCAAAGTTTATGAACAAGAATGCACGAGGGTCTCAAAATCAGTTATTTAAGTTCAGAGATCGTCATACAACAACTGTAGCACCACCAGTGGATGAGTCAGCCTCATCAACTCCTAACCTAACTATGCTTGCAGATCAACTACAAAAGTTTCTCTCTCTTCATCAGTCTAGTGCTCTTACAGTTTCTCCCACTATGGGTTCGTTCAGCTCAGGTCCTTCAGGTATACCTCACATCGCCTGGGTTTTTGACTCAGGTGCCATACATCAAATAACCAGTGACTTTTCTTTGTTTGCATCTATTGTTTCTCCTCCATCTTTATCTGTCCTTGCTGCCAATGGTTCTCAAATGTCATTAGCTGGTGTTGGGACAATTATTTCTTCGAATCTTATCCTTTCAGATGTCTATTATATTCCTCAACTTACTTTTAGTCAGTCAACTATTTGATTTTGATTTTTTGGTTCATTTCTCTTCCTCTGGTTGTGTTGTGTAGGATCCACGGTTCAAGAAGTTGATTGGGACAGGCTGTAGAAAGGGCGGGTTATATGTGTTGGAGGAGCTTCATGTCCCAGATGTTGATGTTGCTGCTTCTACTGTTGATTTATCTTCATTTCGTTTGAGTCCAGAGTCATTTAGTTTTTACTTATGACATTCTCGTCTTGGTCATGTTTCTTATTCTCGTTTAAAATTTTTAGTTCGACTGGTAGTTTGGGTAATTTAGCAAGCCATGACATTTCTGATTGTAGTGGATGCAAGTTGGCTAAATTTAGTGCATTGTCATTCAATAAAAGTGTTACTTGTTCTCTTGCACCATTTGATCTTGTTTACTCTGATATATGGAGACCGGCTCCTATTCCTACACAAGGAGGATCCAAATATTATGTTTCATTTATTAATGATTACATGAGGTATTGTTGGGTATTCTTGATGAAACGTCGGTCTGAATTCTTTTCCATCTTCACTACATTTTGTAACATGGTACGCACTTAATATTCTGCAGTCATTAAATGTTTTCGGTGTGATAAGGGAGGTGAATATACTCTTCCTTCTTTTCATGATTTGTTAAAATTTGATGGTACACTTTATCAATCCTTTTGCACTAACACACCTGAATAGAATGGTGTTGCCGAACGAAAACACCGTCATATTCTAGAGACAACACGTTCTCTTCTTTTATCAACACATGTTCCCAACTCATTTTGGGGGAAGAAGTTTTGACAGCAGTTCATTTGATCAATATCATTCCTACTATCACAGGCGGAGGAAGACAGGGGCCAAAGTGGGCATGTGCCCCCCCTCAAATTTTTTTTTTATTAGTTAGATATATTTATTATATATTTATACATATATATTATGTGTGCCCCCCTCATTTATATTTGACTCACATTATTTATCCAAAATAATTAAAAAATTAAGCTCATTTAAAACAAAAAAAAAAATTGAACTCACTATTATCTGCCCAAACTTATTTAAAAACCAAATATTTGATTTATTACAATCCACTCAAACCTATTAAAAAAACAAAACTTTTAGCTTAACATTAAAAAAAAAAAATTTGATCCAACATTAAAAACAAAATTTTTGGCCCACCATCATTAAAAACAAAACTTTTGACCCACTTTACTAAAACCTATCTTATCTTTTCTTTTTTTTTGGTCCAAAATTAAAAACAAAATTTTTATTTTTGTTTCACCTAAATAAAAATTGAATTTACTACTTCACAATAACTTAGTGTTGATTCTTACTTTTTTTTTTATTCTTGAACATAATTTTTTTGTATTAATTTTGGCTAAATATTTTTTTATACCAGTTATATTTTGTCTCTATCATAGATATTCATGGCTCTGCCCTTAGCAATATACATATTTTTTATAGAATTTTTTATGTTAAATGGACTTTATATATCAAATATAATATAATAAATATAAATATATTATATAGTGTCATTGGTTAGAAGAAAAAAAATTAGAGTGCATAATTAAAGTGCCCCCCTGAGCAAAATTCCTGGTTTCGCCCCTGCCTACTATTCTCACCTCTGGAGTCTCTCCATTTGAAAAGTTATGTGGTAAGTCGCCTAACTATTTTTTTTTACGTGTGTTTGGTTGTACCTGCTTTGTTTTGCTTCCTAGTGTTCTTCATACCAAACTTTTTGCCTGTTCAGCTTTATGTGTATTTCTTGGTTATGGTGCGGGTCAAAAAGGGTATCGTTGTTATGATTCAATCACTCACAAACTTTATGTCTCTCGTCATGTTGTTTTTATGGAGCATATTCTCTTCTTTTCAATTTCATCTAATTCTTCCTCATTGAATAAATCTGACCTGCTATATATTGATCACTTTTCCACTAATGTTCCTCATGACACATATGTTAGTGATATACCTGTGTCAAATTCTTCATCTTCTGAGCCGACTATTATTCGTCCTCCTATTGTGCATACATATGTTCGCAGGACTCTAGCTATCTCTTCTCCGGATACAGTGCCTCCCCTTTCTCCTCCGGTCTCCCAATCAGGTTCAGACATTGTGGATCATATCCCACGCTATCCTCAGTGCTCTCGCAAATGTCCAGACAAGTTTGGTTGGAGTAATACTTGTTATTCTTCTGAATTTTGTTCTTTTCTTACTTCTATTTATTCTCTATCTGAACCCACCTCTTACAAGGAGGTTTTACTTGATCCACTTTTGAAACAGGCTATGGATGAGGAGTTGTCTGCCTTACATAAAACCAGAGCTTAGGAGCTAGTGCCTTTACCACCTAGTAAACGTACTATTAGTTGTAAGTGAGTTTATAAGATAAAAACTAAGTTGGATGTTTCTGTGGAACGATATAAAGCTCGACTAGTAGCCAAGGGGTTTGCCCAGGAATATGGTATAGATTATGATGAGGCTTTTGCTCCTTTTGCCAAGATGACTACTGTTCGCACTGTGATTACAGTTGTTGCCATTCGACAATGGAGTTTGTCTCAAATGGAAGTGAAAAATACATTTCTACATGGAGATTTAATTGAAGAGGTTTTTATGATACCTCCCCCTGGATTATCTTATAGTTCTAGTCAAGTATGTCGACTTCATCGTGCCTTATATAGTCTTAAACAGGCTCCTAGGGCATGGTTTGTCAAATTTTCTTCAGTTATCTGTGACTTGGGTTTTCGCGCCAGTAACCATGATTCTGCTCTCTTTTTACAGTCTACTTCGTCAGGTTCTATTATTCTCTTACTATATGTTGATGATATGATTATTACGGATGAAGATACTGCTGACATATGCTTATTGAAAACCTAGTTGCAGGACCATTTTGAGATGAAAGATTTGGGGCAGCTTAGATATTTCTTGGGTATTGACATTGCTTTCTCTCCTAAAGGATATCTTCTCTCTCAGTCCAAGTATGCTTCAGATGTTATTCAACAAGCTCGTTTATCAAATAATCGAATAGTTGACACACCTTTAGAGCTCAATGTTCGTTATTCTTCGTCTGACGATACTCCCATGTCTGATCCAACCCTCTATCGGACTATTGTTGGGAGTTTAGTATATCTTACAGTCACTTGTCCGAATATCTCTTATACTGTTCACATTGTGAGTCAATTTGTTATCTCACCCACCACTGTTCACTAGCTGCTGTTCTTCGCATTCTTTAGTATCTCTGTGGTACTCTACATCAGAGTTTATTATTTCCTCACTCTTCATTTATGGAACTCAGGGCTTAGTTTGATGCTGACTGGACTGGTGACTCTATGGATCGCAAGTTCATCACTGGTTTCTGGTTATTTAATGGGAATTCTCTTATTTCCTGGAAAAGCAAGAAACAAACAGTTGTTGCTCGTTCTTCTGCTAAAACTGAGTATCATGTTATGACATCTACTACAAGTGAGATAGTCTAGTAACGCTGGCTCCTTACTGATCTTGGCATTTCGGTATCATCTCCTACTCCTTTGTTTTGCGACAATACCAGTGTTATTCAGATTGCTCATAATTCAATCTTCTATGAGCACACAAAACACATTGAGATTGATTGTCACTTTGTGTGCCATCATTTGCAGCAAGGCACCATCACTCTCTCCTTTCTTCCTTCCACAATGCAGATAGCGAATTTTTTTACGAAGTCTCGTACCATAACACGTTTTAGATTTGTTCTTGGCAAATTCTTGATGTTGTCTACCACATCATGAGTTTGAGAAGGGGTGTTAGAGTATTAATAGTAAGGGTAGTTTAAGCATTTTCTTTATGATGTGTTGTTCTACTATATAAGACTTACTTTGTGTATTTTTTGTCTTGTGTTGTTCATTACAGACTTGCTTTTAGTCTAATAAGATAATCACTTTCTCTTTTCTATTTTCTATTCTCATTGATTAATTCTATCAGCATTGACATTCATTGATAATTGCAATGTGCTCCTCAGGTTGAAGCTTTCTCTTGGATGAAGTTAGCATTTGCATTGTTGAAATATGCTCCAAGCTTTATAATGGTTTTTTTTTTTTTTCCCATTTTTGATTTGGCAACCTTTTAGATAGGCGTTCTGTCTCAGTAAATCATCAATATCTGCTCTGTTCTCCCACCATCTTATATCAGTAGTCAATGAATTGAAATGCAGGGCTATCATGACAGCATGTGAGGATGCGGACGACTGTATTTCAACTTCTGAGGCTGCTGAGTTGGCTGCAAAGCTTGATGAAAAGAAGATTAATATTATGCCTCGCCCTGGACAAGTGGACTTCATAAATGGAGGGCCACCATGTCTGGTATATAGCAGCCACTACCCGTCTCGTTTACAGATTTTCTATAAACGTTTTCAATGGGACATTTAATGTAGTTATTCTTCTATATGTAACTTTTATTTTCCTGCCGGGTTTTTCTGGGATAAACAGGTTTAAACATAGCACTTGGAGTAAGGTTCAATGTGAAATGATCTTGTCGTTCTCGTCTTTTGTTGATTACTTCCGCCCCAAGTTTTTCCTCCTTGAGAATGTGAGGACCTTCATATCTTTTAACAAACTGCAGAGATTTCAGTTAACTTGGGCTTCTCTCCTTGAAATGGGTTATCAGGTACATGCATATAATTTACCTACTATTAATGTGAGCAACTAACTAGGTAACCAGCTAATAGAATCATTGAGGATTGGAGAATGTCTTGTTATCCATGGTAAAGTGGACATAACCCTGTATTTCATCTTCTTATTACTTCGCTGAAAAATCTTGTTGAGGTGAGAACGGCTAAAACTGGAATCCTGTTGAACGAGGGGTATATGGGTACCTTATGGATGACTTTAATTGAACTTTAGTTGTGCTCCTCGTCGGTGTTATATAAATCTATTAGTTATTACATGTGTTTGAAGACACAGAATAATAAAAAATAGTAAACAATAAACAAATTTGTATTTATATCTAAAATCAAATTACAAATATAAAAAAGAGATAAATGAATTTAAGCATCGATTTGTAGTTGGGGTGAAAGGTGATGGGCAATAGTGGTGGTGGTAGGAGACTGTAGGTGGCAATGACCGTAGTGACGAAGGCGGACAACGATAGTGGTGGTGGTGGCGGCGGCGACGACGATGGTGAAGGTGGTAGGGGTGGTGGTGGTGGAGGCGGGGGTGGTGGAGTCGGTGGCGGTGGCGACAGTGGTTGTGTTGGTGGCAGTGGCGGTGGCGGTGGCGGTGGCGGTGGCGATTGTAGAGGTGGTGGTGAGAAAATTTCAAACACTATTTTTAAAAAAAATATTTATGAAAATAATTTCTAAAAATACTATTAAAAAATCACTCCAAACATACCCTTAGGGCTCTATTATTCCTATTAAATTTAAGGTGTTAATATTAGCTATTAGATTAACTTTAAAATAAAATTTAAAGCGTTCTCAACCGCGAATAGTAAAAGTCATTTTGTTTATCTTTTGAGATTTGAATTGTAAGCTACTTTATGATATATATACATTTATGAACTCTTTGACTTCTATTATGCAAAAATCTTTTCTATTATATACTTTTTTTAAAAGGAATGCAACACGAGAACTTTTCAGGAGGTCACCCATCTCAGTACTACTCTCGCACAAATACCCTTAACCGTGGAGTTCTGATAGGATCCGGTGTATTAATGCTGATATGATTTAATAAAGTTTCTTTCATTTTTTGAAAGTATGGAAAAATTGACAAATTACTTCTGGTTTGAGTAAGCGAAGTTTGCTTAGGGTCCTTACCATCGGTACATTGTGTAAAGTATTTTTTTTTTTTAATATCAGTCAAGTTGACCTGTGCTATTATTACTTTTTCAAATCAAGTCAGTTTTACAATAATTGCAAAATGGTCATTTTTTTTTCCATATTCCCATCTCTATTTTTTATTAGTTCATCTGTTCCACACTTCAGACATGCAAGTCCTTCTTCCCCTACCATGAGTACAAGTTGCACTAGGTTTGTTTGAAGGTTCGTTTAAACCTTCGTGCATATCATTAATTTTGTTAAATTCACCAAAATTAAAATTCTCAATTGTCAAAATTCATATGGTCCATTTTGCAAGTCAAAATAAGTAATTACAATTAAAACACGTAATTAAAATTAAATATCTCAATCAAAGTTGAAGCGATCGAAGATGTAGATGCGAACTTGTAATTGAAGATGTGGATGTAGACTAATAATCAAAGATGTGAATGTAGTTGTAAATTACAACTTATACTTGTAGATAGAAATGTGTACGTTAGTGTTGGGAGAAAGAGAGTTTGTAGAGAGAGAATCAGTAATTTGAAGAGAAAGAAAAGAAATGAGGTAAGGTATTTATAGAGAATTTAAAAATATTGGATTCCAAATTTGCCCCTCAAACTGGCTGTTAGGATAGTTAAAAATGGCATATAAAAGATAAAAAAGTGTCAATTCTAGATTTACCCTTTAAATTAGGCATTATATAATTGTTAAGATGGGTAAAAATGAACTTTTTGGCCAAATTTTCAAAAAAAAGAAATGGGGCATGTTAGTGCCTGTGCTCGCCCATTCCGAATCATGTCAACGCCGGCTCACCTTAAGCTATGTTGTGCCCGTGCAACCCGACTCAATTTACATCTCTTGTCCTCTCTCTGCATAACCTAATGTAATGTCATTGAAAATTTCAACATGCGTTAAAGTAATATATTACAAGTTCGAGTCTGAAAATGAATAATTTAAAAAATAAGGGTAAAGCTTAGTATTATTTTCTTTTCCCAGCCCTGCTATAAGTAAGAGTCTTGGGTAGGACTATCGACGGAACGGATTCTGATCGATTTGAATCCAATCTAATAATTTGACAATTTTTATTTTCGTAATCCATATCTAAATGCATCAACAACCTAAAAATTCGATCCGATCCGATCCGAACAATTTAATTAACTAAAATTTAACAAATTATACTTAAATTTCTTTAAATAATTATTTAATTTTGTTATCATTTATATAAAAATATATAAATAACTATGATCAGATCATAACCGAATCAGATTTAAGTATATTCAAATTCAAATCCAAATCCAAATCCAAATCCGTGAAATATAATTCAAATTTGGGTTCGAATTATTGGTAAAAAATATTAATTCATATCCAACTAATTGAATTCAAATTCAAATCAAAATTCAATCATTAAGATTTATCACTTCACCCAATCAAAAGGGCTTTTGAACCTTCACCGCTTGTGATATTTGTAAATTTTTTTTGTTACATGTAAATGTAGCCTACTCTTAATAATCCAACTCAAGCATCTCACTCTAGCCCAGACTCAAAAGTTTAAGCTATGTGAGAGATTAACCAAATTTTAGCACATAAATTTAGCTGTGGGACCATTCCACCCTCTGTGGGCTTTGTGTTTTTCTATTTTTTTCCCTTATGATAAAGAAACTTTTTCGAGACACGAATAACAATAAAATACACCTACCAAATAAATCTCAAGTATGTACAAATTATTTCTTAATTATAGGTGTCAGATATATCTAAGATTCAGTAACAAGAATTGAATACAAGCCGTCTAAACATCTACTCATAAATGTAATATTCATTGATTGAGATCCGAGAAGAATAAATCTCAGAACTTCGATCCTGAATTTTGAGTAGTTTGCAAATGATTGCACACATCCCAAATTGACACAACAATCACAAGTCTAATGGTCCGTTTGATAGTGTAGATGAAAAAATTAAAGGATAAAAAAATTGGAGTGGTACACTTGCTATCCTTTATTTAAATTTAAAATAAAAAAAATATATATGAAAAAGATTTAAGGCCATCTTCATGTACACTTTTATATTAATGAATACATTAGTGGTGTTTTTATTATAAATTTGGTGTCATATTCATCAGATTTTTATTTAAAGAGGACAAGATTTACAAGGTCAAGAGGCCAATTTTTTTTCAATTTCTTGTTGATTTAGTGAAGCTAAATCGGTATTAGTCAATGTGAAGATTGAAAAAAAAGACAAGATTAGGAGGACCCCATGAAAATCAAAGGAAAACGACTTATTGCGACTTTACCTTGAATTTAATGATAGAGACTGGATTAAGATGGAAGGGACTCGATTAGAATCCCTGTCATCAAGTCATATTGGTTTGTGTTAATATTGAATATTAGGATCCGTGTTTATTACTCATGTTAGTTGGTCATGTCAATTTCGAACTCATTGTGAGAATTAATCAACCTTACCGGCACCCTTATGCCTAACCGTACACAGTAAGGTTACATGTATCAAAGTTTATAACAATTTTTTCTACCTTCTCTAAAAATGGGTCTATGAATCGGATTGTGTCATACCACTTCATGCTAAAAATTTGATATACACATCCAGTGCACACTTTACTGAATCCTATACTGGTTTGATCATGTCTCTGCATTTTTTTTTTTTAATAAGAAACACAAATTTTATTGATAACAAAAGATCCTTACAAGAAAACCAAAACAAATGTGGACAAGCAGTCCAACACACAAAAACAAACCCAGACTGTTGCTAACAAAACAACTGTGAACATTCTACAACCAACTTAACTTAATACAAAAGAGAGGAACATCTTTAAACTCTTTAGAAGGAAGTGGAGGGAAAGTTCTGTTGTGAAAATATCAATTCAAGAATGCTAAAAATCAAATGATAAACAAGACAAGAAAATTCATCGATAGAGGCGTGTAGTCATTGTCTTTAAGAATAGATTTTCGCTCCTCTGAGTATAAAACCCGGTGCAACGGGTTGTGGCGTCCTATCCTCCAGAATTCAACTATCACTTTTCCTCAAACGTGCACTCGCAAATATAAAGATATCTCGAACAACTCTTGATCATTCCTAAATCAATACCAAGATCTCAAGTAGCAGCAGTATATTAGAATCAAATTTTGGTTTTTCTACTTTGCGTTCTGTTTTTATTTTTTTTTTCCGTCTGGCCTTTCTTTTATGATCTGAACAGTAGGCTTTTTCAAGTCTGAACAGTAGGCTTTTTCAAGTCTGAACAGTAGGCTACTTTCTTTTCTTTCTTCTATTCGTACACAAGCAGTCATTTGTTTTAAATAGAAATTGAAGTGTTGCATTTGCATAGCAGAAGGATGCAATGGTTAGCATTAATGGTCCAATGGTCAATTGCAAATTCAACGGTTATTAACCAATGGTCAAAGATTTTAAAAATATAATTCCCGTGTAATATAATAAATTAATGCAATATAAGTAATAAGACAAATTGTTGTGTACCGTTCAAATCATCCGATAAGTTTAAAAATAATTTTTAAATAAATTTTTTTTTTAATTTATATTTCTATACACATATATATACGTTAGAAATAATTAAATATATATTATATTTTAAAATATATATTATATTTTTTTTTAAAAAAAAAAATATATATATATATATATATATATATATATATATATATATATATTAAATACAACAATCCCCCACATATTTTAAAATATAACGTATATATAAAACAACAACTTTAATTTGGGAACACGAGCATCTAATTCATTATGATGGTGTCCTTTGGACTATGAGCCATCACTTAGAAAAAATAAGACAGAACTTATAGAAATCTAGTGAAATATAAGATTTCTATGAACTAGATTTCTTTAATGTAAAGTGACTACACTCATTACTCACATTAGACCCTCTAATATGAGTTTGTTCATTGCGGGTTGGTGCGAATAGGTCATGCACCCTATCTAAATATTCATAGATGCTCTAAAGAATTTGTCCAAACTCTCATAAGAAGTGACTCCACTCCCACATCTATATAGGTGAATCCATCAAGTGTATACCGCAACTAGATACACCATCTAATCTAGGCTATGGATCTATTAAGAGATAAACTCAACCTTATACATTGTATTATATTCTCTATCTACACCAAAAGGATGGACTTTACATATTAATTAACTTATGATAGTGTTACAAATCACCAAATGACTTGTTATTACCCTTATGAACTTACTTCCTGGGATCTCCATTCATGTAAATTAGGTTACCATCATTTGTGATAGGCATAAGTCTCATCCCCCTCGATGTCTCACTCACTAGTTTTCTTCCTAGTGGTTTTGCCATAGGATCGTCCAAATTCATCTTTGACCTCATAAAGTTTAGGGATATTTCATCATTAAGCAGCTGTCTCACAATATTATATTTTAAGGGTATATGCCTATTTTAACCATTATAGGTCTTATTATTTGCCCTTGCTATTGCAGCTGGACAATCACAATGCATAGACACAGATAGAACTGGTCTCGTCCATAAAGGGATATTCGCTAAGAGGTTTTTTAACCACTCAGCCTCAGTATTAGCCTTCTCTAAGGCAATAAATTCAGACTCCATAGTTGACCGAGTTATACATGTCTGCTTGGAAGATTTCCAAGACATTGCACCCCCACCAAGGGTGAATACATAATCACTTGTGGATCTCGTTTCGTCTGAATCAGAAATCCAGTTAGCATCGCTATACCCTTCTAATACAGCAGAAAATCCACTATATGATAAATCATAATTAGCAGTCTCTTTCAAATATTTCAACAACCTAGATATAGCATTCCAATATTCTTTATTGGGGTTATGTGTGTATCTACTTAACCTACCAACAAAATACGCAATATCAGGACGTGTACAATTCATAAGATACATTAAGCTTCCAAGTATTTGTGCATAATCATTTTGACACATAGGATCACCTTTATTTTTCTTTAGTTTAATGCTAGCATCATAAAGTGTAGAAATAGGCTTATGATCAAAATAATTAAACTTCATAAGTATCTTATATACATAGTGTTCTTGAGACAACATCAAATTATTTGGAGTTCTCAAAATTTTTGATTCCTAAAATTACATCTACCTCCCCAATATCTTTCATATCAAACTTAGACATTAAGAACTTTTTAGTATTGGTAACAACCTCTAGATTTGTACCCATTATAAGCATATCATCAACATATAAGCAAATAATAACACCAGAATTATCACAAATAGACACATTTGTCAGCGTCATTAATTTTGAAACCATTTGACACTAATACATTATCAAATTTCTCATGTCATTGTTTTGTTACTTGTTTTCAACCATATAATGAGTTAATCAATTTACATACCATATGCTTTTTACTTTGTGCAATAGATCATTTTGGTTGTTCCATGTATATTTCCTCCTCCAAGTCTCCATTCAATATTTGGGTTCATTACTAACACCAATTAATTTACTCTCATTTGATATCTTATTTTTCATAGGAAAATTATTTTCAAAAAATATAGCATTTTTTGCCTCAATAATTGTGTTAGGTTCTAAAATGTTATACTCGCTTCTTATCACTAGAAATCTATATGAGGTACTATTAATTGAATAGCCTATAAAAACACAATCTAAAGTTTTAGAACCTAATTTCCTCTTCTTAGGTTCCAGTAACATAACTTTTACTAAACACCCCCACACTTTTAAGTATTTTAAGAATGGTAGATGCCCTACCCAAAGTTCATCAGGAGTTTTTCCTATTTTCTTATGTGGAATTCTATTTTGAATATGATATGTCGATAGAATAGCTTCTCCCCATAAATTATTCGGCAGTCCTGAACTTATTAACATAGAATTCATCATTTCCTTTAAAGTCCTATTTTTCCTTTCGGTTACACCATTAGATTCGGGTGAGTATGGAGGAGTAACTTCATGTATAATACCATGTTGTTCACAATAGTCATTAAAAGGATTAAATTCATATTCTCCTCCCCTATCAGTCCTCAACCTTTTTATTTTCCTATTCAATTGATTTTTGATTTCTAGTTTATACTTGATAAACATTTCACTTGTTTCATCCTTATTTCTTAACAAGTATAATTTAGTATACCTCGAATAATCATCAATAAAAGTAACATAATATCTTTTTTCACCTCTTGTCATGGTATTCTTAAAATCACCTAAATCACTATGTATCAGGCTTAATAATTCGATTTTTCTTTCAACCGTTCTAAAAGACTTCTTAGTAATTTTAGATTCAACACAAACTTCATATTTATCAACATTCAAATTCAAAAAATTTGAGATGAGACCTAATTCTTTCATTTTCGTGATATAAAAAAATTTCACATGACCTAATCTACCATGTCACATATTACGAGAGTCAAGTACATAAGCAAAAGAACTAGACTTAGTCTCATTCATAACTTTAGCAACATTTAGTACATAAAGACCCTTATTACAGTAACTTTTCCCAACAAATGTGTCATTGTTGGTCATAATGATCTTATCACTATCAAATATTACTTTCACTCCCACTTTATTCAAGACAGATACCGACACCAAATTCCAACGAATATTAGGCACGTGGAGCACTTTAGACAATGAGAGGATCTTTTCAGAAGTCAACTTTAGTAACACCTTTCCTTTACCTAACAGGTGAGGGTCTAGAGTCACCCATAAACACTTGTTCCTCTCCAACCCCTACAGGTGTGTAGGAGGTAAAAGCACTTCTATTACTACAGATATGCTTACTAGCCCCAGTGTCTATCAACCAATCTTTTGTAGTAGCAGCCACATTAACCTCGGATACGACCGCAACAATAATATCATCCGCCTCAACCAAATTGACATTCGGCTTGATAGGTTTGTTGTTCCGCTTTTGGTGTCGGCATTCTTGAGCATAATGTCCTGATTTTCCACAAACAAAACAATTACCTTTCTTCTTAAAACTAAAACCTTGAGTCTTATGGAGATTTTTTCTATTGTGATTTTTTTTTTATGCTTATATTGAGGCTTATTCGTAGTCTCCACAACATTGACCTTAGAGACATTCTCCTTAGCCTTTTCAAGTTTATCCTTCAAATGATTTTTCTCCTCAATTCTAATATGGATAATTACATCTTCCAAAGATATATCCTTCTTTTATATTTAAGATTGTTCTTGTAAACTTTCCAAGAATCGGATAATTTTTCAATTAAAGCACTGGCTACGAATGACTCAGGCAAAGTAATTTTTTCATTCCTCAACTCATTAATAATCAAATGATACTCATGAATTTGAGAAGACACATCATTCTCCTCAAGCATCTTATAGTTTAAGAAATTTTCTATTGCATATTTTTTAATCCTCGCATCTTCGACAATATACTTTTTCACCAAACTATCTCAAATCTTCCTAGCATGCTTATAATGATAATAAACATCAAACAATTCATTTGATAAAGCATTCAAGATAATATTCCGACAAACCTTATCAGCATTTTGTCATTTTTCTTTTTCTCTTACATAATTTTATGTATCTTCTTTGAGCTTTAAATCAGTTAAAACAAATGCAACACTTGCTATATCAAGTAACATCATAATTCTTTGCTGCCAACGCTTAAAATTAGATCCATTGAAAGGCTCGATTTTTGACATATCAGGAACAGTCTTGTTTATAATTGTAGCATCCATATTAAGATCTATTTTTAAGATTGTTGTGAAAATAACAATTCAAGAATGTTAAAAATCATATGATAAACAAGACAAGAAAACTTATCTATAGAAGTGTGTAGTCACTGTCCTTAAGAATAGATTTTCGCCTATCTGAGTATGAAACCCGATGCAACAGGTTATGACGTTCTATCCTTCAGGATTAAACTATCGTTTCTCCACAAACGTGCACTTGCAAATGTAGAGGTGTCTCGAATAACTCTTGATCGCTCAAAAATTAATACCAAGATCTCAAGCGTAGTATATTAGAATCAAATTTTGGTTTTTCTACTTTGCGTTCTGTTTTTATTTTTTTTTTTCCGTCTGGCCTTTCTTTTATGATCTGAACAGTAGGCTTTTTCAAGTCTGAACTATAGGCTACTTTCTTTTCTTTCTTCTATTCGTACACAAGCAGTCATATGTTTTAGATAGTAATTGAAGTGTTGCATTTGCATAGCAGAAGGAAGCAATGGTTAGCATTCATGATCCAACGGTCAATTGCAAATTCAACGATTATTAACCAATGGTCAAAGACTTTGAAAATATAATTCCGGTGTAATATAATAAATTAATGCAATGGAAGTAATAACACAAATTGTCATAACTTGTACAGTTCAAGTCATCCAATAGGTCTAAAAATAAATTTTTTTTTAATTTATATTTCTATACACATATATACATTAGAAATAATTAAATATATATTATATTTTAAAATATATATATATATTAAATATAACAAGTTCAATTGGCATCATCCTAAGAAGCAAGTTATGGAGTCTTCTTTCGCTGATTAAGCATGCCACTTACAAGAAAAGTAGTACTAGTACCCCAGTATTTGACATAATATTTTACAAAGACCAAGATGCAGCAACCTTCACCATATCAGGATAACATTATTATTCATAATACACATCACTGCTCTCATTTAATCAGTAAAGCTTAGCCGATAGGCGTGGAGAGACCAGAACTTCAAGTGGAGTGGCCTTCATGTTTGTGACTCCAGCACTCTCAGACATATCATCCACTGGTGCATCAAATCGGGTTGAAAGCTCAAACCCGTGCAACAAACGGGCCAGGACTAGATGTATCATTTGAAGGGCAAAATTTGTCCCGGGGCAAATCCTTCTACCTGCACCAAATGGGATCAATGCAAAATGCTGACCCTTAGCATCAAAATCTTTGTGGGTGGTGAGGAACCTCTCCGGCGGGAACTCTGATGGGTCAGACCATACATGTGGATCACGATGGAGTTTCCATAGGTTCAATGTTAGCCTTGTGCCTTTTGGCACATGGTAACCACCCACGATGCAGTCTATAGCAAATTCTCTAGGGCGTCCTAGTGGACCTGCAGGGTATAGCCTTAATATCTCCTTAACAATTGCATGTAGGTAGACAAGATTGCCAATATCTGATTCATTCACTTGTCTCTCCTTGCCAACAAGGGTGGTCAGTTCTTCCTGAGCCTTTCGCAACACATGGCGGTTATTCATTAGTAGTGAGAGTGCCCAAGTCAGCATAACTGTAGTGGTGTCGCTGCCTCCAGCAACCAAGCTCTGCAATTTGCAAGGCCAACAAATTAGACTTCATGGTGTACATAGCGAAGTAAGCTCTACAATGGTATTTGGCCCAGAGGCTTAAGGGTTGGAGGGTGAGGAAAGGGGAAGGTGGGAACATTGGATTTGAATCCCAGTATCATCATGATGTTAATAATAACTCCCAGCTACCACTAGAACCACACACCAGTTATGAGTGTTTTAAGTTGTTTCAAAAATAGAAAACGCATCATGGACCATTTTTCGAAACCTGATCATGACTAAGACTTTTAAAATAGAGTAATGTTACATACACTTAAAAAGTAGACTTAAAAATTAGACTTGATAATTACAACTATTGATTTCACTGTGGGTTCTAGCATTTATTGGGACCCACTACCTATTCAATGGTTGAGATTATCAAGTCTAATTTTTAAGTCCATCTATCATTACTCTTTAAAATATGGATAAAGCTTCATTCGATGTTGGTTCATTCAAGATTTTTCAAGTTGTAAAGTGAATTGAATCTAATCAAATTTCTGCACTCGAACTATAAACGAATCACCTCATCAAGCCTGATCAAATTTGGTCGACTCAAGTTGTAAAATTAATCGAATCTGATTAGATTCAAATTAGAATGGACACTCCTAAAATGAATCAATGAGGCTTTCTCTTTTCAAGGCGAATACTTACCATACACGTGGCTTTGGTTATTGTATCAGCATCGAAACCAGCAAGTTCTGCCTCTTCTGTAATCGACAGCATCACGTCGATGAAGTCTTGTTCGCTGCTAGCGTTCCCTACATCTCTCTTTCGACGATGCTCCTGCAACCATTCTTCGAAAATGTGGTCCATCTCTTTTCCAGTTTCTTTCATGGCCTTCTCATATCCACCCAAATCCAACCACCCCAGGAAAGGAAGGTTGTCAGCCACGGCAAAGAGACCAATATAATTAAAGAAATCCCTCATCACCTTCTGCACCGCATTGCAGCCTTGTCGTCTTTGGCGGAAGTTGTACCATAGTATCTCTTTCCAGCAACCATTCTAAGAACAACGTTGAGAGTCAAGTCCCCAAACCACTGCTTCATCTCCACCAATACATGGCCTGACCTGTCTTTCTTCTCTGCCCAAAGCTTGTAAAGTTCTTTCATGGAGGTCTCCGTTTCAGAGATACGAATATGCTTGAGCAGTTCAAGCCGTCGATTTGAAAGTAGTTCCAGGGAGGTTATTTTGCTCAATTGACGCCAATATTCACCATAAGGAGAGAACCCAAACATTGCAGAGTTGTAACCCAAGTGTTTAGATACCACAAAGTTGGGACGCGATGATATGGCCAAATCGTGGGTAGTGAACAACTCCTCAGCCATCTCCCAACTACTCACAACCAAGGCTCGGTGTACCCCGAGCTGGATGGTGAAGACCGGACCGTACTGGTCAGGCATGGCTCCCAAGGTTATGTGTGGAACCTGATACCCTCCAAAGAGGTGAAGGTGACCAACTATGGGCCATGCACCACCAGCTTCAGGTGCTAACCTTTTACTGACTGTAGTCTTAACAGTTTTAGACCTCCAAAGCAAGAAAAATAGAACAAAAAGTGCAGCAAAGATTCCAGCTATGGCAGTGTTAAGGTGTGGAAGTAAGAAATCCATAGCACCTTTGGCACATGCTGCTCTGGCAATGGATATATAGTACTATGCCATTAAGCAGTATGTTACAAATAATAATATGGGATCTAAAAATCTGATCAAAGATCCTGATGTAAAAACAAAATACAAAGATCATAATTACAATAATAGTACTGAAACATATCAACTGCCACACTACCAATTCAAATTTTTTAATAGCACTGCTTTGAATAGAAATCTTTTCCTTTATGGTTTTCTTCAATTGTCCTCGATGGTAGATCACCAATAATAACTTCAAATAGGACGCACTGTTTATAACTAGACATTTCATCATACATGGTGTGTGGTTTTATTATTGGGTGAAAGTGTGATAGAAATGTTCCAATAGCAGGGTGAGACAATCCACTTTGTTTATATGAGATATACTAATAAAGCAGGCTTATCTTATCTGTTATAATATATTAAACTCTTAATTGGATAAGTGCATGGCATTGACTATGGATTTGTCTTAAGCCCAACTTATCCATGGTTCTTGTTAAAGGTGGAATTTAGAAGAAAAAAAGCTCCTCATCGCCACCATAACAGTTTGACACCACTGTTTAATCCATAGTCTTATTAGAGTACTTCTTCATGGTGGAACACTTTCAAAATTTTTCTTGACCCAGTAATCTGATTGGTGGCAGGGGTAGAGTGAGAAATTTATTTAGTGTAGACACACTCGAACTACACAATTCAATATTTTCTTCCGATAAATAAAAAATAATATGACGCGATTGTATTTTTAACATCATATTTGTTAGGAAAAAATTCTTTAAATACAAAAGAGTTTAAAAAAAAAGTTAAAATTTGTTGAAAACTACAATTTTGGGAACTCTTTTGTTAATAAGTCTAGGGACGAACTTTTTAAGTCATTAAGTCCTACTCAGCTCATCCTTTTTGTCCTATAGTTCAAGCTAATCTTTCTCCTTTTTTTATTACAATATTACCCCTACTCTATAAACTTCACAAAATTCAAACAAACATTCAACATTACAAAACCAAACCAATAAGATCATCCAAAATTCTCCATATCCAACAATTGATTAGTTCATTATCATTAAGTTCAACATCGTTTAGTTCGCTATCTTTTAGTTATTCGTTGAGTTGACTGTCTTGAGTGTGTCTTCACGCCACCTCTCAAGTCCACCACCACCCTCTATCTTTCACCCTCACGAAGTTTCATTCTATCAAAATTCATTATTTGTGAAAATTTGTTGAATTAACAGTTTCATTCTATTAAACTTTACTATTTTTTAAGTTCATTGTTTATATTTTTTTTAATTTTTTTTTGAGTTCACAATTTTTGATATAGATTCCTCAATTCAAATTTTTAATATTTTTTTTAGTTCACTACCTATGAAAATTTTTGTGGTAGGTAAGTGGTGGTGGTGGAGATGATGCAAGTGGTGGTGGGTGATGGTAATAATGGTGGTGGTGGGCGACAACATCTGCAGCGATGTGGGTGGATGGCAGCGGTGGTGGTTGTAGTGGGCAATGGTGGGTGGTAGCAGTTGTGGTGGTGGTGGACATCATTTGATGACGATGGTGGTGGGTGGCAATGGTGGTAGTGGATTGTGGTGGGCGGTAGTGGATAGCATTGGATGGCGATGACGGGCGACGATGGTGATAGTGGTGGTGGTGGTGGTGGTGGTGTTGGTGTTGGTGGTAGGCCGCAGTGATGGTGACGGTGATGATTGTAATAATAACAAATATAAGAATAAGATAATGGTGGAGGTTTTTAAATATCCTCCTTCATGAATGATATTTTTGTCAAGAATTGATTTTATAGACTTTTGGCCTTAAAAATGTTGAGGCCGGACCTAAAGCCAAAAAAATACCTGAATATATAACTCTCACCAAATCTCCTAGGAAAAAAAAACTATAAACATAGGCTATGTAAACAAAAAACAACAACGAAAAGATTTAATTATTACTCTAACATTGGGCTAACTATAGCCATTTAAATTTGAACCCGATGAATTTTTATACTACAAAAACGTTGCATGATAATTTTATTATCAATGCCATTAAAAATGTATTTTTTTTATATAAAAAATCATATTATCTGTCATTCATTGAAGCCTTTACAATTTTTATTGTTAAAAATGTACTCTCGATGGCTACGATCGCAATTGATAATATTAGGATCAAAGTCACAAGTAGATAAACTAATGAATATATTATATTTTTTTTCTTTTATTTATTTATTTATTTATTTTTTCATTGAGGGTGGGACCAATTCAATAAAACTAAAAATATATCAAAAACACATATAGGTTAAAGAAAAGAAAAATTCAGAGGGTGGGCCTAATTGCCTTGATCGGTGGGTGTCAAAATAATTAAAGCCTAATTTAGTATTAACAGTACCCATCAAGCAATCGGCCTCTCAACGGATTGGATATGAACTAGATTAGTCTATATATGAATCAAATTTGAATCCAATTAAAGTTTTGTCGATTCGATCCGATTATTCAACGGATTTAGGAAATTCAATCTATGTCCGAATTCGTTACTTTTTAGATATCCGATCCGAAAATACGATCCAATTCGATTATCACAAAAGCACATGTACAAAAAATTAACAATAAGAATTTGGATAATGAACTAAAAAAAAGAGAAAAAAATGAAAAATTGAAGTAAATGCAAGAGGAAAAATCAAACAAGAGGAAAACTAAATAAAAATGAACAAAATGGGTCATACATTGTAATATTCACTCTATTTTTACTTATTTTTCAGTATAAATATAATATATGTGTAATATTTATTTACATAATATATTTTTATATTAGAATCGAATTAATAATGAATCGGATTATTATAAATTCATATCTGAATTTGTTTAGACAACTCTAATCGAATTCAGATTTGGGTTGAAATCCGGTGCATTGAGAGGCCTCCATGAATGCATTATTAACATTTGCCATCTATGAATGTGTTTTTTTTAAAATCTACTAGGCGGAGATCCATGCGATACACGTAATTAAATAATTTGTATGCCTACTTTTATTTCTTTCATTATCTTCTCCTATTTCCTATCCATCATTTAAGGAATAAAGAAATTAGATAAATAATTATAAAAATTTAGGGTGATAGAAAATAATTTTTTAAAAATATTTAAATGAGGTGTTATTAGTTAGTAGAGGAATAGTTATATTAAATTGAATACATTAAAATAAATTAAAATTTTAAAAATTGAGAAAATATGGTGGGAATGCCTCCCAAGGTCTCTCCCACTGAATTTGTTTGCTATATAATAAAGTATAGATTTGCTATTACAATTATGAAGTTAAACTCTCAACTTATGAAAATACAACTAATATTAAGATTCATCTAATCTTCATATAATTTGACCAAATGATATAAAATTCATTCAAAAAAAATTTCGCTTAAAAAGTATCGTCTTCTCTATAATATACGGCTCCCAATGTCAAACAATTCAATCAACACATGAACATTTCTTAATGCTAAACAATCTCATCAATCAATACATACCTCTCTTGTCTCTCTATTTATTTTAATTTTAAATTACGTAATTAAAAAAATTAAATTTATATTTGAAATATAAATATTACAGAATTAATGTTCAATTTTCGATATTTTACAGCTTCTTCACGGAGTGATCACTAGTTAACTTACATGATATTAGACAACCGCAAGCAAGATATAAAAATTACATGATATTAGGGTTAAAATAAGGTAACCTAGCTCGGTCTTCGATTCCAAAATCATTTTCCAATTATTTGGGAATTAAATACGAGATAAATTTGTTAATCTCATATAAATTAAAGAAAATTAGCCCCTCTATAACTTTTTAATCCAAGTATACAAAACCCTAGCATTCTGAACAGCGAAAAATAAATTACCAACTAATAGAATAATAAAAAGAAATCAAAGGCACCTCAAAAATATCCGAATGATAGTTTTGATAATGAATTGAACAACGGGTATAGCCGATTAGGCATACCTTTAGGTTCTGACAAAAAATGCTAATTTTGTGGTTTTTAAATATAAATATTTTAATTTTAAATGTAGAATCATTTTTCCTCCTAATTTTGGAAAGATTTATTTTATTAGTGACTGATAAAGAAAATTTATCCGTCTATTTTTTTATCTTTCCTATTTTTTTTCCCGACCAAACATAATATTTAATCTATCACTCTAACTTTCAATTCTTCCAACTTTTCATCAATTCATATACATATAGAAAGTTTGAAGGATAGATAGAACATCATGCTTAATAAAGAAGAAAAATAAAATGATGAAATTTTTTATCATTCCATTTTTCTATTATACCAAACGAAGTATAAAGATTTAGTTCCCCTTTAAAGGGTGCATAGCTAGGATGGTTTCTCCTTTATCCAAAAGAGAGACAAAAAAAGAAAACCACAACTGTTAGATGCATGCTATTAGTAACATTCTGCTACCCATGGTAAAAAAGGCAATACCCTTCCTATGCTCACATTAAGCAACAAGCAGTGACAAACACATTGTATATGAAGATTTGGCATACACATGTTTAAATTGTATAACAATCTATCATGTTTCAAGAAACTCATCAGCATCTTCATGTTTGACTCTAATATTTTACATCTCTACCACAGTCCTAATGACCAATCCCTTTGTTCTCACTCTGACGAAAATCATAGAATATTAGTGAGAAGGGACAATGAAGGATTCCGGGTTGTTAAGTTGCTCGTCTCGATGATAACTGCACAAATGAATGCTAGCTGGCACATAATTCATATGTCCGTCACACAGTCAGGGAAGCACCATTGTCCGCAATTGTAAGATTAAGTATCATTGTAGCTGCCTTTGGAGCCCTGCTCAAAGGAAACAATATTTCGAATTAGGAAAAGCAAACAAGATATATATATTTTTGACAAAGGTCCATCAGCATGTGTTGCACTTGCACAAGACAGTATAGATTTGAGCGTGTCTCATTGATTCTGGTACAAGCAACCCCTCAATCACTGCTCACAGCTGGCAAATCTTTAGCCCTCTCCTGACAAAAGCTATTACATAGGCATTTATCCTCGAGAAGTTTCTTCAACTCTCATTTCTAAATTTACAAATCAGTGCTATATGAAAACTAAGGTTAGCTGAGTTGCACTCATCTTAATCCTTCGCATCAGAGGTTCAGCATTATACTTCGTGATGGACAGGTTTTATCCTGGAGATTGTTTCTTATAAAACAGACCATGTGTCTACTCCAGCTGGACTATACCCTAGCCAGTGTATCATGTACATCTTTATTTTCTATACTAGTGCCAGCTTTTATGTTTAGGGTAGCAGAAAACAAGTTCTACGACTTTGATCTGCAGCAGATGGTCAGCATTATACTTCAATTAGAACCAAGATTTAATTGGAGTGTGCCATAGAGAGTCGAAATCCTTCATTTAGGACAGCCCAAGCAGTGAACTGATTTCTTAAGCGGTGAGCCACAAACACCATTAGATATCCTAAGGGTCCCACAAATTGGGATGGCATGATCGGGGGGGTCAATTCACTATCCAGATAGCTAAAATTCCAGACCCCAAAATTGTAACCCAAGTCCACCCATGATCCATGTAAACCAAAATGTAAACCCTAACATCTACTTGTGACACTAAACACTTAATTGCTTTATTTTGGTGATCTTTAAACTTATATGTTGATTTGTTGTGATTTGAATTTTCTTCGTACTATAAATATGCATCCACTAATTTTTTTTATTTACAACCATTAGACTATGAAGTACGGAAATAGATACGACACAACATGGACATGCTGATATAAATTTTTTTTAAAAAATAAGACACGGACACATTGGCAGTACACTAAATTATATGTGTGTGTGTGTGTGTATTATCATAATAATCTTTTATTTCATCCTTTCCCTAATTATAAAAATTCACGTAATGATAATACTGTATAAAAAGTACAATATAAGATATACCAATACACATTCAACATTGACATCCATGATCTAACAATCAATGACTATTACAATTTTTATTTTCAAAAATATTTCACTTCATAACACTAATTTTCATTAATTTCAAAGAGCCCCAATTTTTCACACATTACTTTCATGTAAAATTTTATTCCATTTGTATATAAGTTCATTTTTGTATCCAAAATTATGTTACATTCATATCCTTGTTCAAGGTAATGATTATAACTTCTTTTATATTATAACTTTGACTCATATCTATTTAAAATTACAAAAATAACTTATTCATAAAGTTACCTAAAAAGTTCTCAAAAATTAAAAAAAAATCTCAAAACGGGTCCCCAGTGTGTCAGTCGCGTGTCTCCAACGTGTCCTGAGCATGTTAGCTATATGTCCCCAACGTGTCCTGAAAAAAAATTAACAATAAAAAAATTGGATACTCATTTTAGCATGTTCGACACGTGTCTGCGTCCCAAACCTGTCCAACACCGACATTCTAGCCAAAATGAAGTGTTCATCCTTCCTAGCCATTAGTCGATACATTGTCTTTGATTACGGTCAGATTTGAAGTTCTTATTAGAAATATGAAACAATTCTTAGTTAAAGGGTGAATAGCACTTTGCACCCTAAAATATTCTTAAATTCTGTGTTTATATCTTAAAAGATTAAATTCTCACATTACAGCTTCAATCAGATAAATAATAGCAATGTAGTACAAAAGTAGATGTTCGCTGTCTTTTTTGACAAATTTTTTTATCGTATTTGCCATATTATCCTAATTTTATACACAATTGTTTGAATAATACTAAGTTTGAAATGTTTTTAACATAAATTTGGTACTTAATTTTCCTAAAATGGAGTGCATTGCTAACTTTTTGTTTGATTGAAGGTGCAATATAGAAATTTCAACTTTCAGGATGTAAATTGAGGATGCGAAGATCTTTTGGGGTGCAAAGTGACATTTTCCTTTAGTTATATCTATATAATAAATTAGAGCAAAGTTTGAATCTAAAGACAAACAATGGTTGAGATTGTTTCGTGATAAAACAAGGCCTCATCCAACGGATGATACTATCCCAATTTGTCAAAAGCTATTGACTGAAAATTGATCAAAAATTAAATCTCATAAAGTTTATCCCGCACAAAAAAATTTAATTTTTAAACACCCTATCAATTAGCCTTAATGTCAAATTTTGATCTGTCTCATGTCTTTCTCTTTGTTCCTCATGCCAATCTCTCTCTTTGTTTGTCCCTCATATCTGCCCTAATTTCAAGCCCCTTTCTCTCTATCTCTCTTCTCTCTTCCCCAGGCTCCACATCCTCTCTCTCTCCCCCCTCACCATCAACGCATAGCATACCACCAGTTCACGCCACCAGCCACCACGCTTCCAGCGAACCATGCCCAGCAGCCATCCAGCCACAAACGCGCACACACAAACACAGCCCCGTTGTCCTAATCATGGGTCTCTCAAGCAAATCGAAGCCAGCGATGTTCTATCACTCACGCCCATCAGCAACATTGCGAGACCACAGGTATGTCCCTCTCCCTTGCTCCTTCCCCCTCTCTCTCGCCTACATCTCTGTGTCTCCCTCTATCTCTGACTTGCACCTCCCACGCCTAAATCCCAAGCAAATTGAACCAAAAACACACACTCATCTGCGTACAACACACACACACACTTCTCTCTGCACAACCCCCAATCCCTATACGCACCCTCACGGGCATGCATGGTGTTCGATAAAAAGCATATAAGGTGCCCGACCTCTTTTTTCTAGTATGAATTCACCAAAGCCAAGGAGTTAATCTCACCCTCTCCAATTTTTCTATTTTATCTGACACTCACGCACACACTGTCCATTTGATTCCTCCCTCTGTTACGCCCATTCGATTCCTCTCTCTTGATTCCATCTTACACAACCTCCCCCAACACACGCACAGATTGCACTCTCGTCTGCCCAGCCTCTGCCCAAAGTACTAATGCTAAACACCTCTCTATATTTCATCTCACACTGTTAAACATTTTTTGTTGTAATGGGTTGAACCATTTTGCTGGAAGTTTCTTTTTTTCAATTGGTTTTTTTATTAATTAATGGTTTAAACACTGATTTTGAAAACTCATAGTAAACATATTTTTCTTAGATGCATATGAACAGGGTTTTTTCCCTTGCCGATGTTTATTGATTGTTTATTAATGGTTTAAAAAAATGCTATTGATGGTAAACACACCACAGGTTCGATGAAAGTCTTCACTTAAATTGACCTCATTATTTCCTCTGTATTGTAGGTATATTAAAATGGTTGAGGATTTTCTTGACATTGAAGAATGAGTGGTTTGAAGGCAAGGATCTGAATTTAAAGAAATTGAAGAATGAGTTGTAACTATTGACAGTAGTTAAGTTGATTACATTGGTAACTAATATTTTGATAATGTTTTAATTTCCCCTTCCAGTTTTATCAATGTTTGGTCCTACGTCTTGGTCTTTCGGGTTTGTCACTAATAATATAGTGTTGTCTTCTTATTGGGTTGACATTTGATACTAGGGAAAATTTAGTCAGTTGAGATTCAATTCAAGATAATTTAGAGACCAAGACAAGTCTTTCTAGCACGACCACCAATAAATGTTGTACATCACAAAATTAGTTCAACTTTCATGTATTGCTAATATGATTTGTTGGTTCATAAATTAGTTTAGTTTCATTTTTTTGCTTTTCTATTATTACTTTTTTTTTTGGTTGTGTTATTGGTTTGCTAGCCTGCATTGTTAAGCCTAAAGAAGTGGTTTGTTGTTTTGGGTTTGTTATCTTCATGGGTTTTACACATTTTGGGTGATTTACATATGCTCTGATTTTACATCATTTTTGTCCTTGCTTTGTTTTTCGTAGGCATTCTTTGATTCATGCAGCCATGCCCTCTTCAACTTCACGCCACTATCTGATTCACCGTAAATTTTTAGTTTTTCACTTTTTTTTTTTTCTATTTTTTGGATGGAGTAAGGGTTTTGTTTATTTATTTATTTTTTTGAATTTGGGCATGAGTAAAAGGTTTGATGGGTCTAATATGTGTGATATGGATTTGGCGTGAATTTTTAGATTTGTGAATGGGTGAATTTTCTTATGGATTTTGGGGAGTTTGGATTTACTTTATATGGTGAGAAAATCTGGAAAGTTTATATTTTTGCGGTGAGTTTTGTGATCGGAAACACAAAGTTCAGATTGAGAGTGATCAGTTTTTTATTCTCAGTGCTTTGTTATCTTAAAGAAGAACCATGAGTTTGTCAAAATATTTGCGTAGTTTTCACTAATATTGTCAATCTTGGTACATATGTTGTTGAAGCCTCTAATGATTGAAGGGCAATCACCATCATTGGTGAATTGTTATATCAGGTTCAATTTACTATCCAAGAAGTGTAGGTGAGGTTAAATTCTTATGAGTTCACTATCCAAAGTTCTTATATCCATATGTTTAATATTACAAAGATTGATTTTAACCGTTTCTAATGTGAATTTTTTTTTTTTTGACAATAAATTCTTGTTTTCTTTTCTTTCAACATTTGTTAGATGTGGCCAGACTTGATAACGAAAGTGAAGGAAGGTGTGATAGATGTTGTTGAGTCTTCCGTGTTTTGGATTGCCCATGAGCCATTAATATGACTTTACTGACAACCTTGATATTATAAGGTCTATTAAGACTATTCAAGTCGAAGAACTTTGTACCGTTCTCCAGATAGGGCCATATGGTTGTGCTAAGTGGAATAAGAGGTACCATTCAATTAGTATGCTTCCATTATAGATGTAATATAATTTTTTTTCGTGTTTATTATTATAAGATCAAATTACAATCTACATGGTAGCTTTTTCATGTATAAAATGTATATGATGGCAATTAAAATAACAAACTTCTGATCCTCAATTTAAATTTTTTTAAATATGCACAATTGTCTTGCTTACTGATGGTGAGTCCACTAACTAGTTTATGCAATATTTTGCTATTTTTGCCTACATCAGTGATCCGTACTAATATTTGGTGGCTCTTTTGATTTTTTTGGTCATTTCATTGGGAGTTGTTTTTCATGGGACTTTAAATATTTAAAAGTTTTTTAGGGTACATTTGCAAAATATATAAATCATGTATACGTGATAAACATTTCTTGGTATCCTATGCACTATATCGTACGATACACGATACGATATGTCCAATACGTGACGATTCTAATTTTTTTTTTTTTGGATGAAATGACATCATTTTAGCCTATGACTTATTTTTAAATCATTAACTAGTGAAATAACGTCGTTTCAGTGGTTATAGTTTAAAAAAAAGAGCCTATTGTAAATGTTGTTCAATTGAATTCAAAATTCCTAATTAATATGAAGGTTGTTCAAGCAGTTGATGTTATAAGTTTGAATTAGAGATCTTTGCATTTTGATATTACTAAACTATGTTAGGAACTTGAATAGTTTGTAAAATATTAATGAAATGTTATTTTATTATGAGCCTATGACTTTTTTACAAAGGTATATATATATATATATATATATATATATATATATATATATATATATATATATATATATATATTTTAAGATGAGTGCATCAATTTCTTGAATTAGGTTTTTATCTTTTAAACCTAAATTCTTTCTATTTTCAGGGAGACTAACTATTGGTCTTTCTACCTGTTCCGTTTTGAGATTATCTATTTTAGTTTCAATTTTATCCAACTGTTTTCCTATAGTAATTAGGCTTTGGTTGGTAAAATTTACTTGTTCAACTACTTTCTTTTCAGATTCTAAAATTGGAATCTTAAAAGGTGTAGCCTTAACAGTTTCGGTTAAATGTTTAATTTGAATAGTCTCTGTCGAAGGGTGACTAGAAATTAAAACATCAGAATCTGTTTTCCATTTTTGCTTAGTTACTACCTTTACTTCTTTATGGAAGTTTTCTAGATAGTCTTCAAAAGCTATTTCGGATTCTAATTTATACATTAATTTTACCCATTCTTTTTTGATGGTTTCTTGGGTTTTACAAGGTAAAGATTCAAAAGCTTTTCTAAGAGGTTTAAATTCTACAGCTTTGAAATCCTTTTTTAATTTGTAAATATCAGGCATAAAGAATTCTTTTTCCCTATTGATAGTGTATAATTGATGAATCTTGTTATGATTAATGCTTCCATCAAATGCACTAGCAGTGGGTGATAGAGAAGGTGAAAATTCATCATTCTCTGTTTTTTTAAATTCTGTATATCTAGACTGTAAAAGTACACTTAGGGGAGTGTATACTGATCTAACAACAGGTTCAGAGGAGCTTGCTATTCCTTTTAACCTATGGTCAAGTTCTTTAGCAATTTCTCTGTCTCTATGGGAAACAGAAGAAAAATCAAATCTTCTTCCTTCTAAGATCTGTGCTGATTGGTCATTAAATCTGTTGGATCTATTGGACCTTGCAGAGTCAAAAGATATTTTAACTAATCCATCTGGGAGTTGTTGAATAGTCTCCAGATCAGTTGTAGTTGACACGGATTCAGCTTCTTTATTATAATTTTCATTTTGCATAATCCAAGATTCAGGCAAAGTAACATCTTTCCAAAGTATCTGCTTTGGAATCTGGATATTAGTTTGTTCAGAACTAGCTTGGATTAACATAGTGCTACCTTTAGGACTGGGATCAAGACATTGTATATTAAAATTGGTACGAATGCACTTGTAGTAAATCCTATAGATGAGTACTATGGAACTAGTGTTTTTGACTAATCTGGTAATATCGCCTGTGAGACGGATACCAAGAGTCAAAGCCATGTGTGTGTTAGGGCAGTGTAGATCTAAGGTGAAGTCAGGGAAACAATTAAAATAAACTGGACCTCGGTGGAGTCCTGTTTCCATGATTCCCAAGACACCAGGTTCCCAATCAAGAAACCTTGCGTCTCTGAGGACTAATAAGGCAGCAGCATTTCTGCCTTGGGTAATAAGTGGTTTAATGGCTACTTGGACAAGACCTATGTGAATAAAATTAAATCCTTTGGCCTTGTGTTTCTTAAGGGTCTCCTTACTGAGGAGTTCACAGATATCATCCTCTTTTCTGAGGGGATGTACCTGTTCAACAGTTTTAACTTGGTGTTCTTCACTAAAGGTTTTTTGAACCCAAGTTGTGCTGTAAATACATTTTTCCTTAACCGGAGGAATGTTCCATTTTTTCCAATCTGCCTTAGATTCTTCTACTTCTAGTTCTTCTTCATTAACTCTATGTGGTATAGAATAATCTGAAGATCTAGATGTACTAGCCCTAGAATTAGATCTAAGAAATCTACTCATATTTTAAATTTAAATTTTATCAAATTAGAAATAACAGGTAAGTTTCAACTACACGATACATACCCCCTAATCTGGCTCCAAGTTCTCTCAACTTCTCGCCTAAAATCCCTTATCTGCCACAACTGGACTTACACTCGGGACAAAGAAAGGCTTACGTACTCTTGAGGTTCTGGATTAAGGCTGGGTGATCGGGTACAACTAAAACTTTACAAATGATTTCTAATATGAATCAAATGAAAATTTAAGGATGAGTTAGATGACTCAAATGTAATTGCAGAGATAGGACGCCAGGCCGTCAAATGGCTTTGATACCAAAACATGAACTAACTGCGGAAATAGAATCAGAGAATCAGAAGATATAAATGAAAAATACAGAGAAAATATTATTACAAGAAAATAAATACTTACAACACTAGAACTACTGGTCTAGTGGAAATAAGCGGTAAAATAAAAGGCTTCTGAGCTCTTCTTTTGCATTATTGAAGAAGGCTTTACAAGAGAAGGGTATGTTTACAAGATCTAGAGGACTTGTAATATAGTCTAAAATTTTAGACTTGCTAAAATTCGACCTGCTTCTTTCTCTTGAATGGAGTTGCCTTATATAGGGATAAGGGACTTCGGAGGGAATCTTTTTCAATTATTCCCTTTCTGTTTTCACTTATAGGTAAAACATTTCACTTTGCTGCTTTTGGCCGGAAAGTGGAGTAACATGAATTCACCCATGGTAAAAGGACAGACAAAAAGGACTAGTGGGTCCTGCTTTTGTCCTGGGAATCTATCTTTCGGTGGAAAAGTAGATTCGGTTGACATAATGTGATATTATGATTTACATAGAATGGACAGCTTTTCTTTCTTTATTGGAAGAAAGTAGTGATTGAAGTCATTTTATGTAAACAATAATTCACGGGAGTGCCAGATCCGGGATGAGATCATCAATATCTTCATATGCTGCAAATGGATCTTGGGCATATCCTGGAGGGAGCTCTGCTGATACAGATCCTTGCGAAGATGCTGACGAGTCACTATCCGAATTAAGCTGGTGTAGGAACTTCTGGAGGAGCTTAGCCTTGGACTTCCTTTTGGATTTCTTACTGGAACCCTTAGATGAAGATTCCTCTGGCTAGGCTGCCTTTTCAGGAAGGCTGGGCCTAATTTGCTGAGCAGACTGGGCCTTAACAGGAGTGACTGGTAGTAAGGCACTTGGGACTGCTACTGGAGTTGGTACCTTGACTGAAAAATCCTCTTGAACCAGGGCAATAATGTTGCCTTGTTGGAACCTGGGCCACCATTTGGCATAAAATTGCCGGACTAGATTGAATCCAACAATTTCCCATTGCCATTTGAGAATCCATGGGACTTTGTACCTGCAAATAAATATTAGTAAAAGGGGAATAGGGCTCTCGTGTTTACTAGGACGGTAAACAGATGAGAAGATATTAATCTGATCTAAAAAATCAGCTGGAAAGATTTCATTAATGGGGCCGTGTTGATGCCACCACTGTAAGAACCACGCAGGAATGCGGCTTTTGAAATCTTTATGAAAAGATAAGAACCAGGAATGGGTCAAATCCTCATTCTGGTAGAGTAATATTTTAGACCATGACTCAATGTAGTCATAGTAATTAAATTGTCTGGTGTGAAATGGAAGATCTCGGAGTAAAGATGGATGAGAACCCCATTCCTCAACATAAATGATGTTGCATATAGTTAATGCATGATAAAGGGTTTTGGATGGGTCATTCTTATCTGGTATGGGCCTGGTAAGAATGGATTTTGTGAAAAAGAGAATATCTTGATAGAAACTATGTGGTTTCTCAAGATCAACAGGAATGAAATTCCAACCTTTAGGGAGGTAGGCTTTCACCAGATCTCTTGGATCCTTGTACTGGGAATGAGAAAATTCAATGGCTAATACATTCTGGGTAAAAGCCCCTCCAGGATATGCCCAAGATCCATTTGCAGCATATGAAGATATTGATGATCTCACCCCGGATCTGGCACTCCCGTGAATTATTGTTTACATAAAATGGCTTCAATCACTACTTTCTTCCAATAAAAAAAGAAAAGCTGTCCATTCTATGTAAATCATAATATCACATTATGTCAACCGAATCTACTTTTCCACCGAAAGATAGATTCCCAGAACAAAAGCAGAACCCACTAGTCCTTTCTGTCTGTCCTTTTACCATGGGTGAATTCATGTTACTCCACTTTCCGGCCAAAAGCAGCAAAGTGAAATGTTTTACCTATAAGTGAAAACAGAAAGGGAATAATTGAAAAAGATTCCCTCCGAAGTCTCTTATCCCTATATAAGGCAACTTCATTCAAGAGAAAGAAGCAGGTCGAATTTTAGGAAGTCTAAAATTTCAGACTATATTACAAGCCCTCTAGATCTTGTAAGCATACCCTTCTCTTGTAAAGCCTTCTTCAATAATGCAAAAGAAGAGCTCAGAAGCCTTTTATTTTACCGCTTATTTTCACTAGACCAGTAGTTCTAGTGTTGTAAGTATTTATTTTCTTGTAATAATATTTTCTCTGTATTTTCCATTTATATCTTCTGATTCTCTGATTCTATTTCCGCAGTTAGTTCATGTTTTGGTATCAGAGCCATTTGACGGCCTGGTGTCCTATCTCTGCAATTACATTTGAGTCATCTAACTCATCCTTAAATTTTCATTTGATTCATATTAGAAATCATTTGTAAAGTTTTAGTTGTACCCGATCACCCAGCCTTAATCCAGAACCTCAAGAGTACGTAAGCCTTTCTTTGTCCCGAGTGTAAGTCCAGTTGTGGCAGATAAGGGATTTTGGAAGGAGCTACTGGCTGCAATCCATACTGTTCACAAAAATTACCTAATTCATATTTGGCTTTTTGTTTCTCATTTGTTAATTGCTTATTAATCCTCAGATCAATACACCATTTTAATCCTACATTTTGGATGGTGCTAATGAGTTCTCCATAAGCAAGATTATCATATTCAATAATTCCAGTGTCTTTGCTATGGGCTTCTCTTACCTTATGGGCAAAAAGATTGGGTAGTCCATTAACAAATTTTTCTTTCCAGAATGCTTTCTGGCAATCTGGTCGAACCATGACACGCGAAACAAAAACATCCTTATACCACCTAAAGTCACTTAAAGTGGGACATCTTAGGTTGGTAAGTTGGTCGTGGATCCTAGCAGTAATGCTACTAGGTGTTCCTACAAAGTGTTTAATGATGGTGAATATAAGAGTATTGCATCCATCAAGTTTAGCCAATCCAATTCTTTCATCAAAAATTGGATTACCTTCATCATCTCTAAGGACAGCATAAATAACACTTTCCTTTTGGTCTGAGGTGAGATAATTATCCCACCAATCTCGTAAAACACCCGTAAATCCTGAGGCTATTAGTTTAACAATATCAGGTTCAGGGGTGGTTAATCTCTTTCTTAAGAAATTCCACTTGTTTAATTTTATTGTGAATAACATTAAGGGACTTAGAGACTGAAACGTCTTTTAGTTGCCTCAATTGTTTTTTTTGGTTTGGTAATGAAAGGAAATACAACCTTTTGTCCAAAGGGCTTGGTTGTCAGTCCATCCGTTTCTGTACTAAAAGGGTACAACAGATATACGAATGGTAAACCAAGAATGACTGCATCTGTCATGTCTTTAACCAAAATAAATTATGCCTGGAATTCACTTGGAGCATTTTTGAGCCCAAACTAAGTTGTTTAACATACTTTTCTTTTAAATCTGGATCCTCTATCTTGGAGATTAGGTCTATAAGCATGTGTTCTTCATTTTGTTTAGTGATTACCCGAACTTGTTTATGACAAACACATCCTAATTGGACATGAGGTTGATCAGATGCTGAATGGTAGTCAGAAGAATCTGATGGCTCTAGCCCTATCACCAGGGCCAATAGCCCAATCTTCCTTAGTCATACGGCCAGTAGCCATTTCAACTACTGTAAACCCATTGACTTTTACCCAAATGGCCCAAAGACCACCTACCAGTACATTAACCAACCCTTACACATCATCCCAATCTTTTGTAGCTCATAAAAGCCAAAGAGTTGATTATATCAAGGCTTTTACCCAGAATGTATTAGCCATTGAATTTTCTCATTCCCAGTACAAGGATCCAAGAGATCTGGTGAAAGCCTACCTCCCTAAAGGTTAAACCTAAAACTGAGATTTCTAATAAGGCTAAAAAGTATTATCGGCCTAAACCTTATAAAAAATCAGCAAAGGGAAAAGGAAAAGCACAAGATGATATTAAATGTTTCAATTGTGGCAAAACAGGCCATATTAGTCCTGATTGTCCAATTAAAAAACAGGTTAAAAGATTAAATTTATCTCAAGAAGATGAGTATAAAATCCTGAAAATCTTTAGGATAAATAATTTAGACAGTTCTGAAGAATCCGAAAGTCCAGTAGAGCCATCAGATTCTTCTGACTACCATTCAGCATCTGATCACCCTCATGTCCAATTAGGATGTGTTTGTCATAAACAAGTTCGGGTAATCACTAAACAAAATGAAGAACACATGCTTATAGACCTAATCTCCAAGATAGAGGATCCAGATTTAAAAAAAAAGTATGTTAAACAACTTAGGAATTTGTTTAAAAAGGACAGTAAAAAATTTGTTCTTGAAAAACAAATTGTGAGTCTTAACAAAACCATGGAAAGATTCAGTAAGGAAAAGAAAAAAGAAATTACTTTACAAGATCTCCAAAGTGAAGTTAATAAACTCAAAATAGAAATAAAAGAATTAAAAGCTCAAAACAAGAAATTTGCAGAAGCTTTAAGTCTTTTACAAACAGAAAAACAATATGAAAAATCTCAGGATTCTGATCCAGAAGATCAGACTGAAAATTTCACTAATCCTTTTGATCATCAAAGCTATAGACAGGGGATACCAGTAACCTCCTCCTTTCAGACGGAAACTTCTGGTGTAACGAACCTACCTTCATTCCATGAAGGAAGCACTAATGATGATAAAAGAATTAGCCTAATTAATTCTTTAGCTGTCCAAAAATGGCATGTTGAAGTAAAAATAGTTATCAATAATAACTTTGAACTTAACATTATTGCACTTATTGATACAGGTGCAGATGTTAACTGTATCCAAGAAGGACTGGTTCCAACCAGGTTTTATGAAAAAACAATGGAAAGAATTAGTTCTGCCAATGGTAATAAGAATGACCCATCCAAAACCCTTTATCATGCATTAACTATATGCAACATCATTTTTGTTGAGGAATGGGGTTCTCATCCATCTTTACTCCGAGATCTTCCATTTCACACCAGACAATTTAATTACTATGACTATATTGAGTCATGGTCTAAAATATTACTCTACCAGAATGAGGATTTGACCCATTCCTGGTTCTTATCTTTTCATAAAGATTTCAAAAGTCGCATTCCTGCGTGGTTCCTACAGTGGTGGCATCAACACGGCCCCATTAATGAAATCTTTCCAGCTGATCTTTTAGATCAGATTAATATCTTCTCATCTGTTTACCGTCCTAGTAAACACGAGAGCCCTATTCCCCTTTTACTAATATTTATTTGCAGGTACAAAGTCCCATGGATTCTCAAATGGCAATGGAAAATTGTTGGATTCAATCTAGTCCGGCAATTTTATGCCAAATGGTGGCCCAGGTTCCAACAAGGCAACATTATTGCCCTGGTTCAAGAGGATTTTCCAGTCAAGGTACCAACTCCAGTAGCAGTCCCAAGTACCTTACTACCAGTCACTCCTGTTAAGGCCCAATCTGCTCAGCAAATTAGGCCCAGCCTTCCTGAAAAGGCAGCCCAGCCAGAGGAATCTTCATCTAAGGGTTCCAGTAAGAAATCCAAAAGGAAGTCTAAGGTTAAACTCCTCCAGAAGCTCCTACACCAGCTTAATTCGGATAGTGACTCGTCAGCATCTTCGCAAGGATCTGTATCAGCAGAGCTCCCTCCAAGATATGCCTAAGATCCATTTGCAGCATATGAAGATATTGATGATCTCACCCCGGATCTGGCACTCCCGTGAATTATTGTTTACATAAAATGGCTTCAATCACTACTTTCTTCCAATAAAGAAAGAAAAGTTGTCCATTCTATATAAATCATAATATCACATTATGTCAACCGAATCTACTTTTCCACCGAAAGATAGATTCCCAGGACAAAAGCAGGACCCACTAGTCCTTTCTGTCTGTCCTTTTACCATGGGTGAATTCATGTTACTCCACTTTCCTTAGATTCTTCTACTTCTAGTTCTTCTTCATTAACTCTATGTGGTATAGAATAATCTGAAGATCTAGATGTACTAGCCCTAGAATTAGATCTAAGAAATCTACTCATATTTTAAATTTAAATTTTATCAAATTAATAATTATTTAAAAATTAAAATTGTGCGTATTTTACGATACACGATATGATACACTATTTTTAAAAAACGATACGCAATTTGACAACTATAGTTGTGCAATTCATGGGTTACAACTAGAATTTGATGTGGGGAACAATAATTTGTTATAACTTTTCTGTGTTATTATATAGTGCCTTCAGGCACGACTGATTGCTAGTATGTATACATGGATGTGTAATCATGTAGAATTTTTTTTGCAATAATGAAAGCAATCTAGATAAGAGTTAGAAAGTGAATCACGACCCAAAACAACATACTAACTAAGCATATCCCATCACCCCACGTATCAAACAAACATAATGTATTGCGTGCCCATACTCGTACCACGTATCAAATTGATCTCGATCTAGGGAACATTGAGATGACCTTTATTTTCAGTTAATGAATTATTTTATGAGTCAATACACAACTACAATTTACATGTTCTTTAACTTTATGTCACTGTTGTAATTTTTAAAAAAAGTTGCAAACAAGTTTGTAGAAATTAGAATATCATAGTGGCAGGTTTGCAAAAGTCATTCATTAGGTGCCAAAATATGATGCCAAAAAGGGGAAGATAACTGTACCAACAAAGAAGGGTGAAAACACAAATACCATGACTCAGGTGTCTGGTACAGAGAAGATGAACTGCCAAAGCATGACACAAGCATGTCAGTGTTGACAACGCCTGGAGAAAGTGCAACAATTGCCAGTCCACTGGGCAACTCCTTTGCCACAGATCTAGTCAGACCCTCTACTGCCCATTTTGAGGCACAATAAGGTGCCACCTGTGAACATTTGATGAAGTTTGAGTCTGTAGATTTGATATCTGCCAGAGCAGACATTTAAAAAAAGACAGGGTTATCATAAGACTTATATCCTCAAGTGATATGCAACCTAGATTGCACACTCTAAAATTTAAAATGCATTTATGCTCCAAATTCCTTATGGTAAAGATCAGTAAAATATGACAATCTTATAATCTGATATTCATCAAGAGAGCAAACATTATACTTAGAATCACCGTTTTTACATTATACTTAGATTACAATTCCAATTGCTCATTACCGTTTAGGTAGTCTATTCCCCGACCTTGCTTCAACTCTTTGTTTATCCTTACATCAGATGCTTTACAGATTGAAGAAATGAAAATCTTATTGCAATATTGCAGTTCATCAAGAACCATGATCTTTTAGTAGCATGTGCTACTTCGGATCAAGATTTTGATTGTTATGAGTTGTGCACAAATTCATATAGATTGATCATAATAAAAAAGAACAGGAGAAAATTGTGAGATACAAGTACATTGAGCATCTTCTATGTTTTACCTGTGCGGCAGCTGATCTGCCCCATCCAGATGACATATTGACAATAATCCCTTGCTTACTTTCAATCATAAGAGGGATGAAGTGGCGCAACATATTTGCTATCCCCTTTAAATTAGTATCAATGACAGAATCAAACTCTTCTTCTGGAACCTCCCAAATTCTGTTGTTCCTATTAATAGTACCTGCATTGTTTACTGGTAGATACTTGTATGTAAGTCCAATATTCACAGCCCCAATTGAGGGTTAAATGAGAAGCACATGCACAGTGAGGCATACTGAATATGACAACCACGCGTCTCCATTGACAAATACTAAAAATAAATAAACAAAGGAGCCAAATATTAGAATAGTACAATTTTACCACCCATCATGACCTCCATCTAAGCTTTTATTTGGTCAAATGTTGTAAGGATGAGCTAGAGAGCATAATCAATAAATGTTAATCCACAAACTCGACATTGCAATACAATTATGATTCTCTTTCCACAAATTAGCATAAGCATGCACAATACTATCATTGGAGTACATTGTGTTAAAAAGTGACGTGATCTCAGAAGCATAAAATTTTGGGCCCAAAATTCATGCTTAATTTGAAAAAACAAGTTTTAAAAAAAAACCATTATCTATATAAATACCAGACAAAATAAGAGATCGCATGACAACCATGCACAGTGAAATTTAGTTGCAAACAAAATGCTGAAACAATAGAAAACATACTTTACATGATATATAACATTAATAATTCTAAATGGCAAAGGATAGATAGGCAAAAAAGTACTCATGTCAGGATGGAATAAATGCAACAAAATATTTAAGCAAACAGAACAAGCATACAAAAATTACTAAAAGATTATCATCAATTTATCCAAGAGTGATATCTACAAGTCAAACAGATTAATACATTGTAATTCGTACTTTACCATGCCAATATGTGGTTAATAACTTGCAAGGGAACAAGCATGTTTATAGAATTAATTGAAGTACCTATGATATCAGGAACACCCTTCTTTTCCATCACCGCATGAGCCAACTCTTCCACGCTGCTATTAGACCTCTACAAACACACATTCAAACAATTACTATGAATATCTCTCTCATACACACAAACACACGCACACAGAGAGAGAGTATACCACATCGACATTCATGAAAAGGTGCCTGTCATCGGAGGAGGAGGAAGTAGAAATGGAGTTAGGTTGCGAAGAAGGAGAAGCCGAAGAGAGCTCGATTTGGAGAGACTTAAGCTTCTCCGACGAACGAGCGCAACCAATGACGGTGTGGCCTCTTTTCGCCATTTCTAGGGCTAGGGCTCTGCCGAGCCCTCTGCTCACACCAGTTATCAGCACCGTCCGTTGAGCTCCTTTGTTCAGAACGTTCATCCCTCCCGACAGCGGCAGCGTCGCCGGCGTTGTTGTCATCTCCCCCTTTCCCACCTCTCTCTGTCTCTCTCTCTTTGTACACATGTAGTGATAATATTTTGTTGGGAACTTATTTTGATTTTTCCGCAAAGAAAATTTATTTCTGTTTGTTTTTTTTAATTTTGTTAGATTATTCGTTCCCTTTAAAACTAAAATAAAATTAAAAATTAAAAATTCTTAAATTTTAGAAGTTTAATTAACATTAAAAAAATTTCTTCCTCGTATCTATCTATATCTATATAATAAAATACCAAAAAATTTGAATTTTTATCTAACACATATTTTTTCCCCCAAAAAAATCTTGTTATATGTTTAATTATTTAATATTTAATTAATTTATAATTTAACATAATTATTATTTCAGACATTTTAGGGTTGTTCATGAGTCGGGCCCACGAATTTTTTTCAGATCAAACTTGGGTAGTGTAGGCCTAAGCCTGTACTTGAGCGAGTTATTGGGCGAGCCGGGCTGGATTTCAAGTAGGAGTAAGCTATCCGCAGCTCAACCTATCACCTATTGGACGGGTTTTGTGAACGGGCTTTTTGGACTGACTTTTGTTGGGCCTATTGGGCGGGGCTATTTGAGGCCTGTTGGGCAAGCTTGCTTTTGGGCGGGCTTTGTTGGAAGGGTTTGTTGAGCTCTATTGAAAAAATATACAACTTAATTTAATTTTTTTGTAAATTATATTTTTGAATTAAAAGTATAATTAAATGAATAATTTTATTTATCAATAGAAGAGAAATTCTATCACAATAGAATGAGTATATCTCAATTAGGTTGGCACCTACACCACATATCTATCATTTTGTACAATTCTATCCATTAAAGACTTTTGTACATGAAAAACTTGTATATCTAATACATGAAAAAAAAATACAATATTTTTAATATCTAAATTTTTAAAACTTCAAATTCTGGCATTGAGAGATTTATTTTATATTTTGATCTCTCGCTTTAGCGGCATACCAATCTTGAAGACACGTGAGGGCTTCCACTGTCTTTATGTCCAAGCAACTACTATGGTCATCAATGACACGTTCACTTGTACTAAAAATAAATTCAGATGTTACAATCAACATAGGAACTGTTAGTATATCACGAGTCATGGTGGAAAGAATTGAAAGCCTACTTTTATATCCTTTCCACCAGACCAAAATATCAAAATCAGGATCTTCAACACCTATCAGTGAAGCATTATAATATTGTTGAAGTTCAGTTAATCCCTATATGTTGTCATACCTCCTCTGGTCAAAATTGAAACTAACATAGATGTTTTACATTTACCTTTACTAGTACTACCAACAATATCACCAAAAGCTAAGGAGGGATTAAGTGTACCATCATCCCAAATATTACACTATATTCATTAAAAAGTTTTTTAAAATAATATTTTATTTTATTCATGTGGTTCATGTGCTCATCATTTAAGTTACTATATAGAGACATAAAAACACTTGTAAGGCCAAATTCTTTAAATCGATGGTCAATTAACATACCAAACCAATAAGTATAGGAAGTGGTGAGAAAATATTTATTAAATTCAGATTGCATATTATGTAAAATAGTAGAAAATTCAGATTCAGTACTATATTGTTCAAAAAGATCACTGATACTAACTATATGAACATAAACAAGTGTAATAGTTGGATAATAATAACCAGATAAAGGCATAGTTATCTCATAAAAACTTTCAAAAAATCTATCATTTTATCAGTAACATCTCATTCTTCTTCGGTGGGACGGGATAATGAACCAGTGGTACCTATACTAATATGGTCATTTAAGACAGTTTTATATTTAACTGTCACATCTAGTATTTTATAGGTGGAGTTTCACCTATGTTGCACATCATATGGTATTTTTTTGCATTTTAAATTATTCTTTTTACACATAATTTCAAATGTTCAAAGTATATTTTCAGAACCTATTATATGATAAATAATATGTCTAATCTTATCAATTTCAAATCTAAAATTATGGAAACCACTTTATACTATGAGATTTATTATATGACACAAACATCTCATATGAAAAAAGGACATTCATATGGTAAAGTTAAATAACATTTTAAATGACTTACAGCTCCACTATTATTTGTTGCATTATCTAAACTAATAGTAAAAATCTTGTCTTGAATATGATAAATTTGTAACTGATTATAAATAACTTCAAAATTAACTTGTGCACTATGATTATCTTTAATTCTTATAAAAGTAATAATTTTTTTTTGCATAACTCAATTATCATCAATAAAATGAACAGCTATACATAAATATCCTAATTGTTGGCAAGAAGTCCAAATATCATAAGTCAAACAAATTTTAGAGCCTCTAGCAAAACTTTTTTACAATAATTACATATAGTCTTTTCTGATGTAATGGCCTCATTAGAATTCTTAATTTTGATTTTCTCAAAGTGATCCTAGGCCTTGAACTTTTGTCTTTTATTAGATGGTAAATTCCCAGTAGAATCTATCTCAAGCATTGAAAGTGAATCACTCCCTTCACCCTTATCGATGTTTTTATTATCATTATTCAACTTAAGAATTTCTTTATAAAAAATATTTTGTGAATGAGATGAAATCATTATGTAAATTAAATTATAAAAATAAAATAAATACTTAAATTATGTAAAAAAAATTCTCACCAAATGAGAGCACTTGACAATCTTGAGTCTTTGAGACAACTGAAAACTCGGTCTTGAGACTTTAGAACACTTCAGAATTGTAACTTGTGAGTTGAGAGCAAATGTGAGTTAAGAGTAAATGACTGAATGAGAATTTTATTTTTTGGCAAAGGTAGTGGGTTCAAAAGAAATGTAGTCAGCTTTATTTATAAATTATACACTAAATAGTGGTCATTTATTTATGACCGTTAGTTGTATAAATGGAGAAAAAAAAAATTTATGACTATCTCAACCGCTGGTTCAAACGGAAAACACAAGACACAGACACTTAGACAGTCACAGTTCAAAAGTCCAGATCACATGTGGATGTGGTGGTGCTCAGCTTAAAAATTTTGAACTCACCTAACTCTCAAACAATTTTCACCTAACTTTGAACATTCAAATTCTCACCTACCTTTCAACTCTTAAATTTTCAAATGTTGTGGTCGGATTATTGGGTCGGGTAGTGGCTTTAAGGGTTGAACTTAAGCCCTTTCTTAAATGACATTAGACTCGGGCGGGCCAACTATCAGGTCTATCGGATTTCGGGTTTTTTTTTTTTGGCTGGGTAACAAGACTTGTGGATAACCTGGCCCATGGACACATCTATTAAAGGATATTGAGTTCGGACTCGGGCGGTCCAAGTATCGGGCCTATCAGGTTTCAGACTTATTTTTTTTAAGTCGGGTAACTAGACTCGTGGGTAATCCGGCCCATGAACACCCTTATCCTAGGCCTCAGACTTTTGTCTTTTATCAGATGATACATTTTCAGTAGAATCCATCTCAGGTGTTGAAAGTGGATCATCTCATTCACCCTCATCGATGTTATTATTATCATTATTCGACTCAAGAATTTTGTTATAAAAAATATTTTGTGAATGAGATGAAGTCATTACGTAAATTAAACTATAAAAATAAAATAAATATTTAAATTATGTAAAACAACATTCTCACCAAATGAGAGCACTTGACAATCTTTTAAGTCTTTGAGATAGTTGAAAATTCAGTCTTGAGACTTCAGAATACTTGAGAGTTGTGACTTGTGAATTTAGAGCAAATAATTGAATGAGAGTTATTTTTTTTTTTTCAAATGTAGTGTGTTAAATGAAATGCAATCAACTTTATTTATAAATTATACATTAAAAAGTAGTCGTTTATTTATGACCATTTTTTGTATAAGTGGAGAAAAAAAAATTTATAATTGTCTTAGCCGCTTGCTCAGACGGAAGACAGTTACAGACGAAAAAGACAAGACACATACACTGAGACAATTACAGTATAGAAGTCCAGACCCCATATGGATGTGGTGCTCAGTTGAAAAAATTTGAACTCAACTAACTTTCAAATAATTCTCACCTGTCTTTCAATTCCCAAATCCTCAAATTTTGTGGGCGAGTTATTGGGTCGAGCTTCAGTCTTCGCATTTGGGCTCCGGGTTGGTTAGTGGGTTTAGGGGTAAATCCAAGCTATTTCTTAAAGGATATTGGGCTCAAGCTCGAGCTCGGGCGAGCCAACTATCGGGCCTATTCGGTTTCGAGCTTATTTTTTTTGGGCAGGGTAACAAAACCCATAGGTAACCCGCCTCATGGACACTCCTATTAAAGGATATTGGGTTCGGGCTCAGACTTGGGCGGGCCAACTTTCGAGCCTATTGGGTTTCTGACTTTTTTTTGGGCCGGTTAATGAGACCCGTAGGTAACCCGCCCATGGACACCCCTATTTTAGGCCTTGGACTTTTGTCTTTTATTAGACGGTATATTTCCAGTAGAATCCATCTCAGGTGTTGAAAGTGGATCATCCCCTTCACCCTCATCGATGTTCTTATTATCATTATTCGACTCAAGAATTTTGTAATAAAAAAATTTTTGTGAATGAGATGAAGTCATTACGTAAATTAAACTATAAAAATAAAATAAATACTTAAATTATGTAAAAAAATATTCTCACAAAATGAGAGCACTTGACAATCTTGAGTTTTTGAGACAAAGTTATTACGTAAGTTAAATTATAAAAATAAAATAAATACTTAAATTATGTAAAAAAAATTTCTCACCAAATGAAAACACTTGACAATCTTGAGGCTTTGAGATAGTTGAAAACTATGTCTTGAGACTTCAGAACACTTGAGAGTTGTCACTTGTGAGTAGAGAGCAAATGACTGAAAGAGAGTTTTTTTTTTTTTTTTTGTAGTGGGTTGAAATGAAATGAAATTGACTTTATTTATAAATTATACATTAAAAAGTAGTTGTTTATTTATGACCGTTAGTAGTATAAGTGGAGAAAAAAAAAATTATGACTGTCTCAGTCGCTGGCTCAGACGGAAGACAGTCATAGATGAAAAAGACAAGACACAGACACTCAGACAGTCACAGTACAGAAGTCCAGACCCCATGTGA